ATAGGCACGCACGTCGAGATCCTAGGCGAGCAGGGGTGGTGGCCGGCCACCATCACGTGGCGGGAGGTAGGTTCGGGCGGCCAGCTCGTGTGGATGCGGTCGAGTACGACGGCTACCCGGACGCCGAGCCTCTCCTCTCCTTAGAGGAAGAGACGTGGAGGCAGGTGACGCTCGGCGCCGGCAGCGCGGCCCCTAATACCAGCGGCGAGGCGAGCGACGGCGAGAAGAGCGACGGCGAGACTGGGGACGCGCTGCCGTCCAGCGCGACCAACGTCGGCGGCGCGGTCGATACCGGCGGCGAGGGGAGCGGCGTCGAGAGGGGCGGCGGCAGCAGCCGGGATGGCCAGCGGCGCCACGTACGTCGCACGCGGCGGCGGTAGCCGGGTACGGGTGCGGTAGGTCATATACAGGGGGGTGCGGTCGTGAGGCTCTCTGTTAAGCAAAAGAATATAGATAGTAATGGGCGAGAATAACGCGCACAGGCTAATAAGCTGGTGAGACGGACCACCCCCCCTAGAGAGAGAAGCGGGGTTTTAAAAACAAGAACCGAAAAGAACAAGGAAAAGAATAGGGTGGATAAAGCGCCTGTTCACGGCATGGAGGGTGAGCCACGCCGAACGTACCGAACGTAGAGCCGAGCGGAAGGCAGCGGGGGAAGACGACTCCGAGGAGGACGAACCAGTGGAAATATATTTGTCAGATGTCACGATGCACCCGAAGGGGACCCCAGCGCCGGCATCATCCGTAGAGGCACGAGTGTTCGAAGAGAGAGTGGACCTGAGCAACGATATGACTTGGAGGCAAATGCTCGGAGTGGGAGTCAGAAATGTGGTCCTTGCGCGAGGGGAGCTCGATACACTCGAGGGGCCAGGATACGCCGCGAGGAGGACGGAGTTGCGCCGAAAGGCGAAAGAATAAAGGAAAGGATGGAAATTCTTTTGGTGAGCCGGTGTGTGTGCCAGTCCGTGCCAGTCCGCGCCCTTGTGCAGCGGCCAGCGCGGCTCTTGGAGCACTTGGAGTGCAGTCGGTAACCTCACATCCAGGGCCGGGGAGCTGAGGAGCGCACCCAGCGGGCCGGATGATCGGTATCGGGTTACGGGCTAGAGAGCCCTAGCCCCGGGGGTGCGCGTTCGCAGGGAGAGGGCCGTAAAATAAACACGGGTCTCCGAGGGTTAGTTCCGTGTACCGGGTTTCCCCTTAACTGCAGAACGCGCCCCCTCTACTCGGAGCTAATGAACACCACACTGTACTCCACGTACGTACACGGATACGCCTCATGTGCGCTCGCCCGACCAGAGTCCCTTCCTTTGCCTGTCGGGGCGAGCCCTCGGCTCGTCCCGGTCCCTTGCTCGCCTTCCGGGCGTACCAGACTGCCTCTGCAGTCGTTTCTGATGCCTTTTCCTCAGCTGTGGCCTCGACTCCGCTTCGCCTTCGACTGGTACCGCAGCCTCCGAGAGCGACGACGGCCCGGCCGGGGTCTCCCCGGGCGAGGACGGCGGCATTGGGTCGTGTCGCCTCCCCTCCCAGGGAGGACGGGCCCGTTCTCCCTGGTCGACGAGTCGCGCCCGCACCCGCGGCCTCTCTATCGTCCTCGGCGCCCCCCCCCTCCGCTGGCCCCTCATCGAGCTCGGGGAGGCGTGGCCCTCCCTGTCGAAGATCATGGTGGCCCGGCTGCCACCGCGACGGGTCTCCCCCCGGTGAGCTCGTGCGTCCCGACTCCACTCGCAGAGGTCGCGTCAGTTCATCTCTCCCCTCCTCCGATAACTGACCCCAATCCCCCCCTGGGGCCCTCCGGCCTCGGTTCCGGCTCGCCGGCGGGCCCGTTATCGTATTGCGGCAACTCCCCTCCCCCAGCTCCTCCTCCCGGGTAGTCCAGCCTCCGGCGGGGCGGCTCCGGATCCCCCAGGTTATTCCGAGTGGGACCATACGGTGGCGGCTCCGCCGGCGGCGGGGGTGGAGGCGGAGGCGGCGGGCACGGTGGCGGCCCTCGCGGCCAAAACGCCTGGTGTGGAGCCGCTGGGGCGGCCCCACGACCCTGCAGCCGTCCCAGCGGCGGGGGCGGAAGTGGCAGTGTGGGTGGCGGAAACGGTGGCGGCACTGGCGGCCGCACCGCCTGGTGTGGAACCTCAGGGGCGGTCCCTCGACCCAGCGGTCGCTCCAGCGGTGGTGGCGGAGGCGGTGGTGGGGGGGGCGGGCCTGGTGGCGGTGCCAGCCGCCGCAACTCCTGGGGCGGGGCCTCGGGGGATGCCCCCTGCCCCTGCGGCCGTTCCAGCCCGGCAGCCGTGGTTCCACGCGTCGGCCGTCCACCCCGCTCGTGGGGGGGGGGCCTAGCTCTCGTCTCCCCTCCTGAGGGGGGGGGGGCAGGGCCCGGATTCGCCGACGGCCCCTCTCCCCCCCCCCCCGCTCCGCATCAGGCCGCAGACTGCGCAGTAGTCGCGTCGCCTCCCCCTTCGCCCGGTCCCTCTCGATTCGGTCCCTCACTGACCGGATATCAAAGGCCGAGTTGTGTTCGGATAGCGGGCCCGCCGATGCCACCCGCCTCTTCACACAGCAGGCGTACGCCTTCATCGCCTGCTCCCCCGACTGTGTCGGTCCCGGTGCGATGTCGTTGACGAGGTAGTCCTCCCCTTCCCACCGGAAAACCTGTCCAAGAAGGTCCGTCGAGCCAACCAGTCGTCTTGCCAGGCTCCGCACTTCCCGCGTCTGCACCGGCCTGAGAACGCCGGTGCAGGCCGCGAGCGACAGACCGATCGCCCTAAGCTCCGCCAGGACCGCCTTCTCGCCCGCTGCCGCGGCCGCTCGATCCATCTCGGCCTCTCGGATTGCCTCCTCCCGTTTTCTTGCTCTGTCTGCCGCCGGCACGAACCTCATCGGGCTGCCTCGTGCCCTTCCTGGCAAGATCCGCGTCGGGGCCGGCCGATCCACCGGTGCCGCCCCGGCTCGGGGTGCGCTCGCCTGTTGCGACGGCTGCTCCCCCCTCGCCGCCACCCCGTCTCCTTGTCTCCTCTTCTCACGGACCACAGGGGCTGCACAACAAAAGCACACAAACACCCCCTGCCCCTGCATGGCGTGGCACAGGCGAGTCCTCATCCCCTCCTCCGGCCTCCGCTTCCCCTTCCACCCGTTCAGAAATCCGTTCCAGGATGGCGCTAACCACCTCCTCAGCCACCTTCGTAGCCGCAGGTCCGTCTTCCGGCTTCACGTGGAACAGTGTGCGAAATTTGCCGCCGCACCCATGACAGGCGGCTAGCGCAGGGAAGCGCTCCGTCCCGAGCGACTCGAGAGGGATCCCCACCGCTTGCCAGTGGCGTGTCACCTGTATCGCCCGCTGCTTGGCCACCCGAGCCACCATCCTCAGGGCGCCTCCCTCCATCCCGAGCAGCGCCCCCGCCATCTCCGCCTCCGCCATTCCCACTAGTCGCAGGAATCGGGGGAGGGCGGCCGGAACCGCTCCGTCGGGGACGGCCTCCTCCGGGGCCTCTCCCGCCAGCTCGTGTAGCACTTGCAGCGTTGCTGCCGCATCTTTCGCCTCCTCCCCGCCGCCGAGGCCCGATTTCTTTTCCGCTAAAATTCTTTTTCCTGTGTTAGTGCCAGTGCGAGCCAGTCCCGTGCCCAGTCCTGTGCCCAGTGTCGTGCGAGGGAGTTTTGTCGTAAAATTCTTTTTCCTGCTGAAACTCGCTGTAAGCATGACATGTGCATACACACATGCAACCACGCGACCTAGTGATCAACGAGCGGCTGAGCCAGCCGCGCTGCCCCTGGAGGGGCATCTGCACGCTTGCCGGCCTCCTCGCCTTCCTCGCCCTCCTCTCGGCGCCGCAGCATTCCGACCGTCCCTCGTCGACGCTGCAAAGCATCTCCCTGACAGTCCCCGCTGGACTGAGACCTGCGGGGACGCACCTTGGCAGCGACGATGACGTCGCCGTACTTGCGCCTGTCAAGACGGCGCCGCACGGGACGCCGCCTCTCTCGCGCCTGCCGCAGTCCCGCCCGCCGCCAAAGGCGCAGCTCTCGCCGCCGCCGTCGGCTTTCCCGCCACCGGCGCCGGCAACGGCGACACCGGTCGCGCTGGTGCAGCAGCCTCTGCCCAACTGCTCGGTGCTCTTTTTCCACCACCTCGAGAAGACGGCGGGTACCACGCTGCGCTCGGTGCTGCAGCGGCACGCGCAGCTCGGCCTGTTTGACTTTGTGTCGTTTGTCAACCGGTACAACAAGGTGCAGTTCCAGATGGTGACGCACCGAGTCGACGAGGCGCTGCGCACGCCGGGCGGGCTGAGCGGGCTGCGGCTCGCCGTCGAGATCCACATCGGCGGCGGCGGGTGCGAGCAGTCCGTCACACACCGCTGCACGCGGACCTCAGCTGCGCCGTCTCCGAGCCGTCTCTGCGCCGCCCCTGCGCCGCCCCTGCAGGTACGAGCAGTTCCTCAAGTACACCCTCCCCGACCTGCTCCTCCTCCGCTCAAAGCTGCGCGCCGCCGGCTGCCGCTGCAACCTGGTGACGCTGCTGCGCCACCCGCTGCTGCAGCACCTCTCGTGGCACCGCCACTTTGTCAACGAGCGCGTGCCGCTCTGCTTTTGGAACAGCCCGCACGACTGCCAGAGCCGCATGTCGATGGCGCTCGCCTGCCACGGCGGGCCTTCGGTGCGGCCGCTCACGCGCGACCACCGCACCGCCGTCCAGGCGATGTGGGACGCCTTTGACCTGGTCGGCATGACGGAGCACTTCGACTCCTTCCTCGTCCTGCTCGCCGACCTCGCCGGGCTGCAGCGCCCGTTCTACCGGATCCAGCTCGGCACGGCGGAGACGACGGCAGCGAGGGAGGCGACGCGGCGCTGGAGCGCGCGCACGTGCGCCTCGCTCACGGCCGACCCGCCGCAAGCGCTGCTCGAGTACATTCGCAAGCGGATGGCGGCCACGGCGAAGGCGGCGGCGGGGTTCCGCGCCCGCAAGGGCAAGGGCGACTCGCGCGGGCCGGCAGGCATGATGGACTGCGCCGGCTACGGCCCGTGCGAGCTGCCGGCGGGATCGACGACGCAATACAGCTGGTTCGAGCGCGACCAGTGCGACGCGGTGACGGCGGAGGCGGTTCTCTATCGGCTGTGCGGCCGCATCGCTAGCGACGAGCCGCTGTACCTGACCGCGCGCGAGCGGTTCGAGCAGCGGCGCCGCGCGGCGGGCGAGATGCAGCCGAGATGCGGCCGAGATGCGGTCCGAGATGCGGTCCGAGATGCGGTCCGATGCAGCCGAGATACAGCGTCGGTCCGAGATGCGGCCCGAGGTGCGGCGGGGCCTCGCAGCGCCGAGTCATGAGGAGGCGGTGTGCCACACTCTTGCCCTCTTTGTTGAACACTCTTTGCGTGTGGGCCAGGCGCGTCGCTGCCGCAGCGCGTGGAGCTGCTGCGCGCGGAGGGGGCGGCGCTCGAGGAGCGCGCGATGCGGCAGCAGGCGGAGCGGCCGAGTGACCTCGCGGCGGCGGCGGGTGCGAGGCTGAAGCGCGCGTACCGCATGTCGTCGGGGGGAGGCGTGCCGTGGCTGGTGGGCACACCTCATCTCGGGCAGTCACGGGTGATCGCGGGTAAGCGCGCGACAAGGCGTGCCATGGGTGGTGGACGAGCACGCGAGCTGGTACAAGCCGCACGAGCGCGCGCGTTACTCGTGCGTCAACTGCTCTGGCGACGTCGTGCCGGAGAAGGGCTTCGTCTAATTAACCATTCTCAGTACTAGTCATTCTCACTCAGGCGACGTCGTGCCGGAGAAGGACCTCGTCGGCTGCTGGCCGCTCTGGCCGCAGTTTGGGCCCGACGAGCTCGAGTTCCGCTGCGTGCGCCGCTGGACGAGCGACCCGGGCGAGCAGGCGCCGCACAAGTACATGCAGGGCAGGGCGCCGCTGCCTTGCTGGCGCCGCGGCCCGGAGCCCCCCCCCGCCCGCCCGCCCCCCCGCGACGCGAGCGCGGCAGGCGCGACACGCGGCGACCGTAGGCGCACGTGCTGGACGCCGCTCAAATCGCCGGGAGCGGAGCGTTGCACCGCCGCGTGCCCCTCCGCCGAGTCGGTCCGCGCCGGCCGTCGAGTGAAGGGGACGCGCCCATCCCACGCGTCCACGACACGTCCACGACACGCCCCACAGGCCGAGCCGGCCGTCGAGTGGCGCGCGCGGTGGGACGCCGAGCTGCACAGCTTCAAGGAGCGGGACGGAACGGCGCGCGACGTCGAGCGCGCCACGGGCTTCATCAGGCGGCTACCAAACTCGGACTTCTTCTGGAGCGTGTACTGAGGCGGCCGCAGCGAACGAGCCCCTACGCCCAGCCGATCGTTCAATTCTTCAGGCCGGCAAGGGGGCGGGCGGGGGTCTCAGCTGATTTTGCGTGCGGCGGGCTGGACTCTATCTATAGCTCGGTGGCGTCTCTCAGGACCGCAACGACACCCAGGAGGCGGAGGGGAGAGCGCGTTCTCGCCGCGCAGCTCAGCGCTATTTGCATAAAAGCATTTTGATCAAAACGAAAAAGACTGTAGATAAAAAAAGTTAAGGCACACACGATACACGAACACGTGTGAGGTGTGACTGAGACTGTTGAGAGTGAGAGACGTGCACGTATCGTGACGTGAAAAATATTAACACCGTACGTATTTCTGATTCTGTTTTCGTTGTGACAAGAGGGGCGGAAACAAATAATCTAATCACGAGAGGGAAATGTCAGATCAGTGTCAGCCGTGCAAGCCCCACCCGGCCGGCGGATGGGCGTGGGGGCGCGTCGCCCTGCTTGCTCGAGGTGAAACGTCTAAAGGACGAAGAAGACCCGAATCCGCACGGCGGGCGGAGCACGGCGGGCGGAGCACGGCGGGCGGAGAACACGGGCACTAGACCAGGGAGGACTGGGAGAGTGCGAATGGAGGGACACGTGTGTTCAGACGTCCCCCCCCTCGACGTAGTCGAGTCACTCACATGGATAGAGAGGAAAGTGTCCCTCTCGATGGGGCATGGAACATGCATGAGGAGAGTCCGTGGCTCTCGGGAGGCGCGCGACGCGTGCGCGTGGCGCGCGGCATGGCGCGTGCAAGGAGACCCGCTGTCGTTGGAGGGGGAAGGAGGCTCCTTGACGTTCATGATCTTGTTCCGCAGCTCGAAGAAGCGCTGGGGCTTGAGCGGCTTCGTGAAGTAGTCCGCGAGGTTCTCATCGCTGCGGACGAAGGGGACGCATATCTTGGCCTCCCCGATGGCTTCGCGGATGAAGAAGTGGCGCCGCTCGACGTGTTTGAGCTTGCCGTGGTTCTCGGGGTTGTAGGCAGAGGCGATAGCGGCCTGGTTGTCGCAGTACTGCTTGGTGGGCGGAGCCTCGGGGGGGGTGATGATCTCGCCGTCCTTGACGTACGACTCGAGCTCGGCCTTCAGGCGACGGTAGCTCAACACGTCCTTGGTCGCCTCGGAGGCAGCCATGATCTCGGACTGGCAAGACGAGAGCGCGATGGAGGGCTGTTGGACGCTGCGCCAGTGAACGGAAGGTGGCTTGCCACATGAGGACAATCCACCCGGACGTGGACTTACGCGTCTCCCAGCTAGCGTCGCTCATGGCGATGAGGTCGTCGCCCTCATGCTCGCCGTCCCGGCTCGGCTCGTAGGTCAGACCGATGTGGGGATGGTGGCGGAAGTACTCGAGGAAACAGAACATCTCCTCGAAGACGTCGTCGGTGGGCTTTGCCATGCACCGGCAGAGGAGGCCGAAGGCGAGCGCCCCGTCGCAGCGCGTGTTGGTGACGAGGTAGCTCGCGACGCCGCAGAAGCACTGGCTGAGGTGGATGTCGGCGGGAGCGCGCTCGGTGGTGTTGTCGCATGCGCCTTGACCCTTTCGGCAATCTGGGGCGTGTACGGCGGCATGTTGGCGTGTCGGACGGGCGGTGGTCCGTGTAGGCGATCGATGAGCTTCTCGCGGAACTGCTCAACGAATCGGCGGGCGTACTGCTCCTGCGAGACGTGGACGGAGCCGTCGTGGCGACCACGTCGCGCCACAGTCGATGCACTGCTGGCGAGTAAGGTTACCGTGGAGGAATTCAGCGAGGTGGTCCGGGTCGTTGGGCTTCCCGCTGTGGTTGCCCAGCTCCTTGTACTCGGAGGTGAGCCAGCCGCTGTCGCCCCGCTGGGCGTCCTGAGCCATCGCCTGCTTGTGCCCCTTCGTTCGGGTCTCGAGCTTGTCAGGCCGATTGCCTGGGAGGGATAGCGTGTCGGGCTTCACATCAAAGGGCTGACGCGCGACCAGTCGAAGTCGCTGCTACGTACGTGCAAGCCCCACCCGGCCGGCGGATGGGCGTGGGGCGCGTCGCCCTGCTTGTGCTCTAGGTGAAACGTCTAAAGGACGAAGAAGACCCGAATCCGCCAGAGTATATCTCGACGGCGGGCGATGCATGGCGGGCGATGCATGGCGGGTCGATGCACGGACGGGCACTAGATAGACAGGGACTCTGCAAGGGGCCCCTCCAATCTCCTGCCCCACCGCTTGGTAGCAGGTCGCATCGACGGGTGTCCTTGCCTCCCACATCGATGCGGGCGTAGGGTTGAGTTGAGTAGTGCGTCATCTTGAGGAACGCTAGACTCGACTCCCTCTCGGAGATCGACGCCGCCCGACCGCCGGAGATCACCGGAGATCACCCGAGATCACCCGAGATCACCGGAGGTCTCGATGTCGCGGCGACGACGATCTCGACGGGGCCCTGGCGTGGTTGGGCGTTGTGCCTCCCCACGCCCTGGGACAGACAACACATGCCAGGGCCCACAGACACATCACGACACACATGAACAGAACACGCTGCGTGACGAAAGCGGGGGAGTGAGACTAGTCGTCTCCTCAAGTCGTCTCTCCACTGAGACCCATGAATAAAGAGAGCTCAATCAGCTCTGAGCCATGAATATCGCCAGGAAGAGGGCGGGTGGGGGCGATTGAATCATGGCGCGAGGCGCGCTGGCTCCATGGCAGCACGTTGAAGCAGAGCAGGTGGGGACGAGGACGCGCGTGAGGACGCGTCGCCTCTCTGCTGTGAATAGAGGGAGAGTGCTGCAGCGTTGGAACCGAAGCTCGGCGCCTCGCCCTCAGCAGAGCGGGCGAGAAAAGCTGAAGCTGTTCGCGCCACCTCTGCAAGGGGCCCCTCCAATCTCCTGCCCCACCGCTTGGTAGCAGGTCGCATCGACGGGTGTCCTTGCCTCCCACATCGATGCGGGCGTAGGGTTGAGTTGAGTAGTGCGTCATCTTGAGGAACGCTAGACTCGACTCCCTCTCGGAGATCGACGCCGCCCGACCGCCGGAGATCACCGGAGATCACCCGAGATCACCCGAGATCACCGGAGGTCTCGATGTCGCGGCGACGACGATCTCGACGGGGCCCTGGCGTGGTTGGGCGTTGTGCCTCCCCACGTCTCGGACTTCGACGGCTTGACGACGTGGTCGAGCCCGGTACGGCACAGCACAGCGCCCCCACGCGAGAACCGTAGTCAATCAGTCCACGAGCGGCCCGCGTAGAACGACGCCGACAGTGCATCTGGTGCGAGGCCTCCCCGGCCGTCGCTGCGCCTGCGCGAGCCGCTCTCGCGAGGCTTGTGCACATGAGTGCTCCGGTGCAACCGAGGCGCGGCGGCCAGAATACCACGCCGTCCGACCTCATCGGGAGGCGCAGGCGCGCCGCACCCGGACGCGGCGAGCAGTGTCGCCCGACCCGGAGCGACACTGCGGCACTGTCGCCCGACCCGGAGCGACACTGCGGCACTGTCGCCCGACCCGGAGCGACAGCACCCTTCTGGCTGGAATACGACGCGAGCCGACTCAGTCGCGAGGCAACCCCGCCGAGTTCCGTCCATCTTAGGGTGGACAACGCCCTCCGAGTTCCGTCCATCTTAGGGTGGACAACGCCCTCCGAGTTCCGTCCATCTTAGGGTGGACAACGCCCTCCGAGTTCCGTCCGTCGAGACGGCGGACGAGTCGACGCTCTTCTCGAAGGCGGCGCACGAGACGACGCTCTAGCCGATGTAGAGCGAGTCGAGATACACTCCGGCGAGGCGACAGCAGATCCAGCTGCTCGCCCGCCACGCCGCCGACGAGGCGGCGCACGAGACGACGCTCTAGCCGATGAAGAGCGAGTCGAGATACACTCTGGCGAGGCGACAGCAGATCCAGCTGCTCGCCCGCCACGCCGCCGACGAGACGGCGCACGAGACGACGCTCTTCTCGAAGAAGAGCTAGTCGAGATATGCTCCGGCGAGGCGATGGCACATCCAGCTGCCCGCCCGCCACGCCGCCGACGAGGCGGCGCACGAGACGATGCTCTTCTCGATGAAGAGCGAGTCGAGATATGCTCTGGCGAGGCGACAGCAGATCCAGCCGCCCGCCCGCCACGCCGCCGACGAGGCGGCGCTCGAGACGACGCTCTTCTCGATGAAGAGCTAGTCGAGATATACTCTGGCGAGGCGACAGCAGATCCAGCCGCCCGCCCGCCACGCCGCCAACGAGGCGGCGCACGAGACGACGCTCTTCTCGATGAAGAGCTAGTCGAGATATGCTCTGGCGGGGCGACAGCAGATCCAGCCGCCCGCCCGCCACGCCGCCGACGAGGCGGCGCACGAGACGATGCTCTTCTCGAAGAAGAGCTAGTCGAGATATGCTCTGGCGAGGCGACAGCAGATCCAGCCGCCCGCCCGCCACGCCGCCGACGAGGCGGCGCACGAGACGATGCTCTTCTCGATGAAGAGCTAGTCGAGATATACTCTGGCGAGGCGACAGCAGATCCAGCTGCCCGCCCGCCACGCCGCCGACGAGGCGGCGCACGAGACGACGCTCTAGCCGATGTAGAGCTAGTCGAGATATACTCTGGCGAGGCGACGGCACATCTAGCCGCCCGCCCGCCACGCCGCCGACGAGGCGGCGCTCGAGTCGACGCTCTTCTCGAAGAAGAGCTAGTCGAGATATACTCTGGCGAGGCGACAGCAGATCCAGCCGCCCGCCCGCCACGCCGCCGTGAAGGCGGCGCACGAGACGACGCTCTTCTCGATGAAGAGCTAGTCGAGATATACTCTGGCGAGGCGACAGCAGATCCAGCTGCCCGCCCGCCACGCCGCCGACGAGGCGGCGCACGAGACGACGCTCTTCTCGATGAAGAGCTAGTCGAGATATGCTCCGGCGAGGCGACAGCAGATCCAGCTGCCCGCCCGCCCCGCCGCCGACGACGCGGCGCCCGAGACGACTTTCTTCTCGATGTAGAGCTAGTCGAGATATACTCTGGCGGGGCGACAGCAGTTCAAGCTGCCCGCCAGCAGTTGACTGGTATCAGCAGTCGAGTCGCAATCCGGTGGATCGGCAGAGTCAGGGCGGGTTCTGCACCCAGGACCTCGCCCGTTACCTGCGTCAACACTAGACGCTCTCGCTGCTGTATTTGCTGTGCGTCGCGCGTCCCATCGCGCGACCGCTTGCTGCTATGCTCATACCCACGAAGGCAAATCCGTGATGCCATTCCGGAAGCAGCAAGCTCGGTCAATTCCCAGCGATCGCCCGACGCAGATCGGCCGCTGGACCGGCAGTTCCAGCTTCGTCTGTGTATTGCGTGTCGCTGCTTCATTCTGCAGTGATACGCTGGACGGCCACACCAAGACTGTCCATCCCGACCACAAACACGGTCCATCGGGCTGGTCCATACGGCGGCGGCGCTTTGCGCATCCAGCCGGTGTGCACGAGATTCACGGATCCGCCGTGGAGACTGTGCGCTATCCACCAGCCGCTGAATGGCTGTACGGGCTGTTCGAGCCGACAGAACAACGACAACTGAATGCGGAAACTGAATGCTCGGCGCCAATGCTCTGATCTGTGCAGCGCCTGCGCGTGCCGCCGCACAGCGGCCACGGACCGTTGCGGTCCACAGCGCTCCGGCCATGGCGATTGAATCATGGCGCGAGGCGCGCTGGCTCCATGGCAGCACGTTGAAGCAGAGCAGGTGGGGACGAGGACGCGCGTGAGGACGCGTCGCCTCTCTGCTGTGAATAGAGGGAGAGTGCTGCAGCGTTGGAACCGAAGCTCGGCGCCTCGCCCTCAGCAGAGCGGGCGAGAAAAGCTGAAGCTGTTCGCGCCACGGACTGGGAGAGTGTGAATGGAGGGACACGTGTGTTCAGACGTCAGCAAGCAGGTCCATCCCTTCCGGTCCTGCCACCAAGAGCCAGAGGGGCGCATGTACTGTTCACATTCTTCACGCAAACAACAGTAAAAGTGTTGAGTTCGATCCAAACGCCCGCCTTCTCGGCGCGCAGCAAAACGACTCCGGGAGATGGGGTGCGGTGCGTTCCTCTACCCAATCGTATTCTTCATCTTCTGCGCGGGGACCTTCTTCGCCTTTCAGAAGGCCCAGGGCGTGCTCGATCCGGAGAGCTTCCCAAAGAATGTCACTGCTGAGGAGACGATGGTCACATTCGCAAACTCGACGCGAGAGCTCGGGACCATCGGACTGGGGGAGCTAAAGGACAATATGAACTGGAAGTTTGGCAGTATGCTACTGCACGGGGGCGTCTGTGGCTATTTTCTCGCAATGTGCTTAGTCGCTAACTCTGGCAGTCGAAAAGGAGACATGCACTGAAATCGCCACAGCGTCAGCGAGGCATTTGGGAAGATACCGTACTAGATTTGCATTATCAAAGAGGCGCCTGGCCCTGTCTAATGATGCGCTGGCCGATGGGCCCGGCGTTTGATTTCTGCTTCTACCGCAGGTGTGCGTGCCTTGTGACGCGTGGCTGAGATATATGCTCAGACGGCGACAAAGCGAGCCAGACCGAGACGGTGTGAGCCGTGTGGCGCTTGAAAGTAAGTCACGTCATGCAGTCATCCCCGGTCGCCCGTGCGTGGTCCCAACATCGCACAGCAAACTGACGTGCACTTCGCTACACTGGCTGTTGAGCGCCGCGCGTCCTAGTTACGTTATAAAGATACGATGTCCCCGGGGTGTGTGTGCTCGCGCGTGCTATGCACAAAAGTCAAAACGTCTCTGTATCATCTTGCTTTATCGCGCCCACTCACGTCAGCGTCGGACTCGGCAGAGGCTCTTGAGACGGGCGCTCTCCTTGATTGCCCTGAGCAGCCTCCGGGCAAGCTGCGCTCGTAGGGCGTTCTGCAGCCGCCTCGCCGCATCTTGCCGCCTTGCCAGCCGCCTCCTCGCCGCCCGTTGCACTACCTGAGCGCCGCGCGACTGCCGTGCGAGCAACCGCCGTGCGAGCATTCTCCTCACCGTCCGCTGCACCACCGCGGCGCTGCGCTGGGACGTGAAGTAGAGGAGCATCGCAATCGACTGCCGCGCCGCAAACCGCCGCCTCTGCCTTCTCGCCCTCGCCGCCCGTTGTAGCTTACGAACAAAGAACGCCAGCCAGCGCGCGGCTAGCGCAATCTCCGCCTCCGCCGCGGCCTCGACGGCAGTGATGCGCCGCGACTCCTCCTCCACCCGCTCGCACGTGCGCGGTGTGAAGGCTCCCGGCACCTTCTTGACCAGCTCATTCAGCTCCTCAAAGGACCTGCGTCCGCGCCCGGTGCTGTTGCTGATCCAGGTGGCTCGCAGGGCAGCAAGCTCCCACTTCTCAAACGCCTCCCGATTGCCTGGGTCGATGCGCAGCGTGTGCGTCGACGTGACCAGCCGAAAGACGAAGTTATCGGCACAGTCGGGCGTCTCACGCCTCAGCGCAGACAGCTTGCGGAGGTCGACGCGAGTGGTGCAGCGGAGCGTGGCGAAGGGATCTTCCCTAGGGGTGCTGCCGCGAGGCTGCTTCCCGGGCTCCAGCTCCCACACTGCCAGCGCTCCGCCATGCGTAATTGTGAAGAAGCGGCTTTGCCAGGGAGGAAGCCAGCCGGCGTAGCAGAGCGACCACCCGCAAAAGGCGGTGCCGTCGCAAGACTTTAGGGCATGCTCGCAGCCCCGCTCGAGAGACGCAGCGGCGGCCGACACGCGGAGCTTTGGCACGGACGTCACCATGAACGAGCGCAGCGAGTGCCGCCAGGGCGTCTTGCGACCGACTTCTCCAAACCAGATTTTGTTTTTCTGCCGAGGCGGAGTCCGAGCGCAGGCGGTGCCCACAGGTCGGACCTTACGACAGCATTGTAGCTCCCTGGGGTGGTGGAGAGGCCCAAGTGCTCCAAGTGCTCCACCCCACGAGCGACGCGGCACACCAACTCTCTAACCAACTAACGGTAACACCAACCATGCAACCAACCCACCCCACCCCAACCCAGCAGGCCGGCAGCAGCTCTGCGCCGCCGGTCCGAACCCGACCCCCACCTCGATGTGTCGGTCAGCCTCAGCAGGCAGTCAGGCCTCTCGAGTCAGGCCTGGTCAGCCTCGCCCCCGCGCCAGATATTTGGCAACGTCGAGGAACCTGACGGCGGCTTGGGCCGACGGTGCAGTGCAGCCTTCTCTTTGCGTCGAGCAGCGCGGGCCCTTCGCGCGGCGGCCACAGCCTCGTCGAGCGGCCGAGAGGGGCGGTTGGCGGCGAGGCGTCGTGAGGCCGCGGCCCAAGCCCCACGCAGCAGCGTGGCCCTGCCTTGAGCCCGAGCTTCAGTATCATCCAACGCCGTGGCGAGCAGCGGTGGGTCTGCCTGAGGCTCGTGCTGCGCCTGCGGCGGGCAGCCGCCCTCCACCTCTGGCAGGAACGGCTTGAGCCAGGCAGCCTTGAGCTCGTCGAGCGAGAGGCCTGCAACCTCCCCGCCAGTGAGGCCCGCGTCGGGCCCCAGCGTGTTTTATGGCCCTAAGTTATGGCCCTGCGTGCTGCGACCGCGCACCCCCCCAGGGCTAGGGCTCTCTAGCCCGTTATACCCGATACTAACAATCGTCCGGCCTCTGGGTGCGCTTCTTAGCTCCCCGGCCCTGGGCGTGAGGTTGCCAACTGCACTCCCGAAGTGCTCCAAGTGCCGCCGCTTCACGCGGCCAGCGGACAGCCAGCCACTGCCGGAGTGCCGGTGCTTTTGGCTTCGCCACCGTCCAATGCCAAAGCGTGCGCCATGCGCTCGCCGACATCGAGCGAGCGCGCCTGTCCGACGAGCGGCTTGCTGTGCGGACGCCTCGTCTTGTGGCTCTCGCCGAGAGCGTTACTTTTGCGTCCGGCGTCCCGGCGGGTGGGAGAATATGCGTCTATTTTGTCACTGTGTACGTCACACCCAGTCTTGATAGTTAGTGCCAGTACGCGCCAGTCCCGTAGGTAGGTAGTCCCGTGCCCAATGTTGTGCAAGAAAAGAATTTTACACGACTAGGTAGGTAGGTGAAGAACAGCCAGGCTCGGACTGGACACCAACGCGGTATGGGTGGACGCTGGACAGATGATGACGACACGCACGAGCGACACACAGACACAAACAAGCTCACAAGACACACGACTCCCTCGAGAAGAAAAGAATTTTAACAAAAGAAAGCCCGAGGCGTTTGAAAAAGGGCCTCGCTCTCGCTCGGGCTCGGCCGCATGGCGCTGACCGCCTCCTCCCCAGCCCAAGCCAACCTGCCTCGATCTGGGCTCGGGCCGCCGCGGCGGAAGACGCGCAGCGTCAGTGCAGCCACTGACTCAGTCAAGCAGGCCGGCCGATCCGCCCCGCGGCAAGACCCGCTGCGCCGTCCGCCAGCCGACAAGTCTGCGGTGCCGTCGTACGCCCGTCCAACGCGCAGCAGCGCGATGCGCAAGGACGTGGTTGACGTGTCGTCGCGTCGCCGACCCGTGGACAAGCTCCGCGCCGAGTTTGAGGCGCGGGAAGGCGGCGCTCAGGCGCTTGGCTTGAGGCGCGGGAAGGCGACGCCTTCCCAGCCCGAGGTGCCAGTCGGCAAGCTGGTCGATCTCAACGAGAACGTTCCCCCGCCCGCGCCGCCCACCCCTCCCGAGGAGCGCCTCGAGCTGCCCGCTCCGGACGCCGGCCTCGCGGGAGCCATAGAGAGGGCTCAGGCGGCGGCGGCGGCGAGCGTGGGCGGAGCCTCGTCGCCCGAGGCAGCCGCGGGCGCGGGCCTGGACGTCTCCATCGTCTCGCCGCTAATCAAGTTCACCCCTCCCGCGCCCAAGCCCTCCGCCTCCCCCGCCGTCCGCTCGTCGCGCGGCCGCTACTCGCGCGGCGCTGAGCGGAACGGCTCGAGAAAGTCGGGGGCGGCGATGCGCCTCTCCTCCTGCTCCTTCTTCGGCGGCCGCCCGCCCGCCTCCGCCGATGAGCCCGCGTCCCTAGCCCGCGCCTCCTCCTCCCCCGCCGTCTGCGGCGCCGGCCCCACCCTGCCCCACGGCTCCGTCTTCGGAGGCATCGGAGGCTGCCCGGAGGACGCAGCGGCGCCCGCGCCCAGCGGCGTCCGCGCCTCGCCTCGCCTCCTCTCGCTCGACCCTGCGGTCAAGGCTGCCGCCTCGGAGGCGGCGAAGGCGAAGGCGCTCTTCGAGGGGCTCGAGGGGGCCGCCGTCTCCATCGCCTCCGCCGCCTCCGCCTCCGCCTCCGCCGCCTCCGCCTCCGCCGCCTCCGCCTCCGCCTCCGCCGCCTCCGCCTCCGCCTCCGCCTCCGCCTCCGCCTCCGCCTCCGCCTCCGCGTCGCGCGCCGCGCCGCCGCCCCTCGCCGCGGGCGTGGCCGCGTCGGCTCCTCCATCACAGCAGGCGTGGCAGACGTCGGGGCAGCGAGTGCCCAAGCGACGGTCAGCCGACACTCCGCCTTGCCTGTCCAACTTGCCTGTCCAAGACACGTCCCCGACGTGTCATCTCGTGTCCCGTAGGTCGGCACGCCTCTCCGGCCTCCCGGCAGCGCGGCCCGTGGAGCGGAGCCCACTGGCGCAGCCGCCGGCGCAGCCGCCGCAGCGAAGCGACCCCTTCCCCGCTGCCGCCGGCTGCGGCGCCGCCATCGCTGAGGAGCCACTCATTCAATTTGGGAGTGGCACCGCGACGGCGGCGACGGCGGAGGCCGCGCGCTCGCCTTGCGCTTCTCCTCCTCGCAAGGCGCCGCGCCTCGAGAACCACGCGACGGCGGCAGGTGTGGCCTGGTCGCAGGGCGGGGCCTCCCCGCTGCTCGTGCCCGGCGCTGGCTCCCCGCTCCTCGCTGGCTCCCCGCTGCTGCTCTCGGTCTCTGAGCCTGAGGCTCAGCCTCTGGCGCTTCCCGCAGCTGCCCAGCCGGCGCCCGCCGCCGCCGAGTCTGCGGCCGAGCCACGTGCGGCTGCGGCGCCGTCCGCTGCCAGAGCGGCGCCGCGCCGCTCACCTCGCCGCTCGCTCGCCGCGGCCGCTATAGCACGCGTCGAGTCTGCAACCGAGCCGGCGGCGCCGGAGGAGGAGGCGGAGCCGATGGAGGTGGAGGAGGCGGAGCCAATGCTGACGGAGGAGACGCCGTCGCAGCCGCCGCAGCAGGTGGCCTCCTCCTCCGCGGCGACGGCGCGGCTCGGCACCGGTGGCGAGGGGGCGCCGCCGCGCTCTTCGCCGCGCCGCTCGCCGCGCCGCTCCCTCGGAGGTGGGTCGCTGGGGCGCGGTTCCTGCTCGGGCGGCGGGGACCCGTTCGGCGGCTCCAAGCTGGCGCGCTCGCCGGTGCCGGCGGCTGCACGCGCCGCGTGGCAGCAGGCGCCGGCGGAGGGAGAGGAGGCGCGCGGCCGCTCGCCCCGCCGCTCGCCGCGCAAGTCGCCGCGTCGCTCGTCGGTTGCACAAAAGAAGAGCGCAGCGCGCCCGTCGGCCACGGCGCCCAAAAGGTCGACGAGCAGAGGCGGAGGAGGCGCAGCCGAGGCGTCTCGCGGCGGCGGCGGCTCGCGGACGTCTGGCTTGGCCGCGCCGCGCGCGTCGGCGGCGGCGGCCTTTGGCTCGGTGGCGTCGGTCTGCGAGATGCTCGGCGGCGTGGGCGAGGACAGGCCGTGGGAGAAGCGGGTGGCGGCGAGGAGGGGAGGCGGGCCGCAGCCTCTTAGGGCGCGTCCACGACACGTCCACGCTCGTCGTAGGTCGCGGCCATCAAGAGCTTGCCCCGCTTGCTCACGGAGGGCGCCGCCGCCGGCTCCCTCGACGCAAACCTAAAGGTGGACAGCGGACAGCCCTCCCACCCCCGCTCCCACCCACCCCGCCTAGCCGTTCTTGCCTGCGCGACCGGGGCCTGCTTGCTTGCCTCCCCCTCTCCTGACCCACCCATCGCCTCCCCAGCCCCCTCGCTCTGTTGCTGGGCAAGCCTCTCTCGGCGTTGCTCGCACACCTCCTCGAGATCAAGCGAGATTGACCCGAGACTAGGCGCTCGGCAAGCCCCTCGCGACTCAGCTCGCAGACCTTCGCTCCTCGGTCGTCTCCACCCTCTGCACCACCCTCTGCACCCTCGCCGCCGAGCGCGGCGACGCCCTCGCGCCGCTCGTGCCCGTGCTGCTGCCTGCATTGCTCCGGAATCATTGCGTCTCCAAGGTGCGTCGCGCTGCGCGCACCCTCTCTGCCGCTGCCAGCCGAGTCCCGGCCAAGCACGCGATGCGACGCGGCCACGCCCCTCTGCCACAGGCGCCAATCTCCAAGCCGTCGGTGCAGGCGGCCGGTGCGCTAGTCGCCGCAGCGCCGTCGGAGGGTGCGGCCGCGCTCCGGACTCTCGCCGCCGTTGCACGGACACGTCCACGACTTGCCCCCGCCCCGTCTGCCGCAGGAGCGAGCGCGGTGCTTCTCGCCACGGTCGGCTCGCCGCACCACCAGACGCGCCGCGGCGTCGCCTCGCTTCTCGGCGCCGCATGTGCCTCCGCGCTCGAGCTTCCCCCGCCGCAGGCCGCCGCCTTCGCGAGTGCGATCCGCGCCCTCGTCTGCGACACCGACGCCACGGTCCGCGCCACGGCGGCGTCCGCGTACTGGGAGCTGCACCGGCGCTCCGTGGCGGATGCGGACGCGATCCTGCCCCAGGTGCAGCCACCACAGCAAAAGCTGATCCAGCGCTCCAAGCCGGCGGCCAAGTAGCCGCGCGCGCGCTCGCCCGAGCGCGTCGCCCCGAGGACTGGTGTTGCAGCAATGTTGCAGCCCACCGCCGTACCACTGCGCAGCCGCTGCATAGCGCGCGTACTGTGGCCGACTCTGTGAGAGCGGCCAGCGTCGCATGGGGGAGGGCACAGGGGGGGGGGGTCTGTGAGTGGTGGTCAGAGTGCAGCACCGAGCGGAGTGGCGGGCTGGTTCAGGCCGTGGGGGCCGCGCCAGCCCTGCCAGTGTGCATGCAGTGAGTGAGTCGGTGGTAGTGGAGAGGGCACTGCACGATCGACACACACTGCTCACTGGGGCACGACCGCGCGCGCGCGCGCTGAGAGCCACTTTCCCGCCTTCGGCCCCTTTTCCTGTACGCGTGTATCTATCTGCTGCAGCACGCGTGAGAAAGAGGTGTAGGGGGGCGGGGGGCGGGGGGCGGGGGGGGGTTAGAGAGTAGAGGCTAGAGCCGTACTGCGCGCCGCATCTGCCATATCTTCTCCGCTCTCCCCTCTCCGCCGGTTGGTTTTCCTTTTTTTTATAGGCATTGTGGGGTTGGCACACTCCACACTCCCATCGACCCTCATGTGTCATGACCTCCTGCGGTCTCTGAGATGGACACCAGTGGGTGTGGGACCACAGCCAGGATACACTCGAAGGCTGGGTAAGCAGTAGAGGTCGATAATCGACGCGTCCCACATGGTCTGTGTCGCTTGAGTGTCACGTGTCAGCACCATGGTCGGCACGCTGTCGACAGGACGTCCAGCGACACCGGTGGCAGTGCCACCCAGGAGTGGTCGGGCGGTCTCCCGTCATGAGAGAGCCACCATGTGGTCCGTATGATGATTCCTGACAACCACCTCAGTCAACTTTCGTTCCCGCTCTGGGAGGACGAGGAGCTGCGGGACGGTCAGTTCGACAGCTGAAGCTGTGTCGCCGGCGTGCGGGCCTGCATATGATGAAGCTTCCAGACGTTGCGCGCTCCGCCGTATGTTCTGTCCGCAGCGCGGCAAAGAATTTAGACAAACTAGTGGGGGACCTGCGGCGGTACCCGCCTCTGCTGTTCGGGCAGTGAGAGACGCAGGATCCAAAGGGGGTGTCGGAGATCATCCATCGCAACAACATCTCTCTCCATCGCAAGCACTCATCAGTCAGTCACGTCAGTCAAAGCCGCGCCGAGCCGGTCTCGGCGGGAGACCTCGGAGCAGCACGCGATGCTGCGGGCGTGCGCGATGGCTCCCTCTCCTCCGTGCCTAAGGCAGATAGATTAGGGTGTGACCTGCGGCAGCCAGTCGGAGGCCGCGATGAATGGCCCAGGGCCGGCGGCGGTGAAGGCGTCCGTCGATGAAGGGATGTCGTCGAGGGAGCTATCGTCCTCCGCGGCTGGTGCATCGGTCCAGTTGTCGGAGTTCGAGATCGCCGTCGACTTGGAGAGTGTGTTCGGCCCGTTGACGAACTCACGGAATGTGAGCGGCTTGGTGCACGCTGGGTCGAGCATCATGACTCGCACCTCATCCTGGGCGAGGAACTCGCCCAGGGGACCAGATGTTGGCGTCGCCGTTTTGATCGAGCTGCATGCACTGCATGGTTTCGTAGTCAAGCGTAAACGCCCAGGAGTTGGTGCCTGGGTGACTTGCTGATGAGAGCGCCTTCCAGGCGGGTAGTCGTGCCCCTCACCTAAGGTCATACGGCGGCGTCAGAGGGGGGGAGGGGCGCGAAGCGTGAACATGGAGGCAAGCAGGTGTTCGGCTGCACCTGGCCAAAGCCGGCGACCTCAAAGTTGTCGTTGCTTGTGCGGATCGTGAGAGGGACCGGATCGGCAGCAGCGCGGGCGGCAGCGGCCGGAGAGGCCGGAGAGCCGTCCGACGGAGGCCGGTCGTGCATCGGCGCGTCGGCCGTAGGGGCCGTGGGGGGCGGCATCCATCGCTGCGGGTCGCTGCGGGCCAACGATTGTTTGTGGATCGATCGTCGGCGGGCGGTGTTCAGTTGAAATTAATTTGTAGTTGAATTTGTAGTTGAGCCTCGAGGCGCTCAATTAAAAATAAAAAAGAAATTTCCCACGTCGCACGCCTGGCCGCATGTCAGAGGATGGGGATCTGGCGTCCGATGAGGAGGCCTGGCCGATAGACGCCGCCACCGACGACGAGGATCTGGCGGATGAACCGACGCTGCCTTGCGTTGGCGCTGCCTTGTGGTCCTGGTTGCCAGAAGAGGTGCTGCGCCTGTTTGCCAAGTCGTCCTCAGTCACGGTCCTCCTTGTACTGGCCGCACTCGATCGCCGCACTTATAGGGCAGCCGAACCACGACACAGTCGAGTCACCCGGCTGACACGGTCGCCATTTTTCCTCGGCAAGCAACTGCTCCATGGGGCTTCTCCGCAAGCAGCTGCTTCCATAGCCTGTGAACCGTTCATACCGACCGACGCAATCTATCTGCCTCAGCAGGTGGTGCGCTCTCGCGCCATAGACCTATCCATATGCCCAGTTTGCGGACACAAGATTCCCGAAGGCCAGAGCTTTTGCGAGAGGTGCGGCAAGGAGTTGTTTGACGAGCGTGTGGGCAGGCAAACCAGAGTACAAGTCGGTGGGCCTTTCAGCCGCGAGGACTGCGAATCTTTCGCGTCGGCGCTGATGCGAGCGAACGTGCTCGAGCACATCACCATATTTTCGCTCTCGTTTGCTCCCGATGGCGCGATCGATCCTCTCCTTGACGCTTGGGCAGGCGGTGCCATGATAATGCTCGACCGGGTGGAGCTCCGTCAGAGCGTGCACACAACGAGAGGTCTCCAAGCGCTCGAGGATGCCATTCAGAAAGGCGCCCTCCCTGCCGTTACGCAGCTGAGTCTCCCTCAGAATGAGCTCAGCAGCTTGAGCGTGGAGCCACTCCTCCGCATCAGTTCGCATCTCAACCAACTGAAGCACCTCGAGTTGCATGACAACGCGCAGCTCTGGGTCGACGCGGGAGCCTTCAGCCTTCCCGAGCAGCCTGCCCTGCAGGAGCTGCGCGCTACACTGGACGGTCGTGGAATCCAGCTCCATCTTAGACCGCGCAATGTCTAAATGCTGAGCCAGATTTGTAGATAACACGATGGGCATGTGTGCATGTGGCCGCGTGGCGGCTGGAGATGTCGCGTGTAGCTGTGTAGAGTAAATAAATAAATAAAAACGGACACCTCTACTGTGAGATGGGTAAAAAGGAACAGGTCCCCGCCCTAGCTGTAGAGTGCTCTCTCGCGCGCGACTCGCGCGTTCCACAGACGAGGATTTCACGAAAAGGTACAGTCATGACTCTCCAGCTAGAGCTAGGTCGGTCGGGGTCCCGGGGGTCGATTTTTGGAAGTGAATAGCACGGCATAGAAACTGCAAAACAAGGTGCGTTAGCTCGAAAGAAACACATAGGCACCCACATGGGTTGCCATCCCTCAACACAAGTGGCCCACGGTTCACATTCACACACCCGGCCGCACCGCTCACGCACGCAAATGGCTCTCGCACCACCTCAACACACGCGCACGGGGGCGGAGGACGCGCGCTAGTCACTCCTCCTCGCCCTCCTCGCCCTCCTCCGCCTCCTCCGCCTCCAGCTCAGACGCCGCATCGAGCTCCGCCTCGTACGCGTCGATCAAGTCGTCGTGTATCTCTGACTCTGGCTCCCACGTCGACACGTCCGGCGGGTACCCCTTCCAGAGGATCAAGTAGTACGTCATCTCGACCCGCTTCTTGCCCTGTGAGGCGAGAAGAGAGGTGGTCGGGCACGTGAGCGATGGAGTGGCAATAAGCAAGGGCAGGTGCGAGTGTGAGGGCGCAAGCACCTTGCCGACCGTCTCCACCTTGCTGTCGAGAATGCGCTCGATGTCAAACTTCTCACTCGCCTCCCACTGCCAGCCGTTGAGCTCACGCAGATCGACCCTCTTCCTCTTCTTCTTCTTCCCGCCGCCGCCGCCGCCGCCGCCGCCGCCGCCCTCTTCGCCCGCCACGCGCCGCTGCCGCACCTTCCGCACCACGCCGTCGCCGTCGCACCCCGAGTCGCCGTCCTCGAGGTCGTTCGCCTCGACGCCATGCGCGGCGAAGAGGAGGTTCTGCAGCTGCGTGCAATAGTCCGCGCGGTTCGCCTGCGTGACAGTGAAGCCCGTCTTCCCCGCCAGCTTGAAGGCCTTGAGCTGGTCCTACAACAAACGAGAGCCGTGAGTAGTGGGGCACTAGTATACCGCTCAACAGCGTCCGAGAAGCGCCTGCAAGCCGGCGATCGCCAGCTTCTTCAGCTCTGAGTAGCGCCGCACGAGCGGCAGCTGCGCGATGCGCGCGTTCTCGGCCGCCTTGGCCGCCTTGCGCGCCTTCTTGCTGCCCAGCTTCTCGTCGCGCTCGGCGCGCTTTGCGCGGCCCGCCGCGACCAGCTGCGCCTTGAGCGTAACGCGTCTCGCCCGCCCCGCCGCCTTTCGGCACGCCGCAAGCATGGTCTCGGCGACCTTGAGCCCGCCGCGCTCATCGATCTCGCCCGTCAGCCAGCCGGCTTGGTTGTTAAAGCGCCCGAGCGAGTCGCCGGCGCGCGACTCATTGCGCTGCCGCTTGTGCCGGTCGTCGCTGACGCGGCCGACGGCGTGCAGCCGCTCAACCGGCGTGCTCGTCGCCTGCAGCGCGTCGTACTTTGCGCGCAGCGCCGGGGTGATGTTCGCCGAGCACAGCTTGCCGGTCTTGGTGATCGAGCCGTTCGTGGCGACGAGGCCCGCCGGCATCCACTCCGCAGCGTGGTTGCAGACCGCCCGGGACATCGCGCCGAATGCCGCCGTCAGCAAGCGCGTCACCATCGGGTCGTCGGCCGCTGCGGCGCGAATGCGCACCGATGGCGCTCGGCGCGGCGCGCCTGCGTTGGAGTTGGCGCGGTAGCGGCGGTGGCGGCCGCCGAAACGTCGCCGAGCTGCAGCTTGAGCGAGCCGTCGACGATGCCCGCGGGCGACGCGGCGGCCGCCTCAAAAAACGCGTGCGCCGCCGGCCACACGCGCGGGAGCACGTCGAGGACGTGCTTGTCCGCGGCTGGCTTGACCGCGCGGATCAGCGGCCAAAACACCGCGTCGCAGATCAGCGCCATGGCGCGCACCCCCGCCATGCAGGGCGGCGAGCGCGCGCCGGTGAGGATAGACTTGCGCAGCTTGCCGCCGCCGGCAGCCTTGAGCATCTCATCCTCGTCGAGGTAGGTCAGCATGGAGATGTCGTGCTCAGTGAGCAGCCGCTCCGTCGGCGCCGCGTCGAGGTAGAAGACGTACGCGCGCGAGCCGCAGATCGCGAGCACGTCCTCCACGTGCCCCACGAGATGCTCGAGCTGCTCCTCGAGGTCTGCCAGCCGCGCCTCCATCCACTCCTGCAGCTTGCGGCCGATGGCGTAGCCCTTGGTCGAGCAGAGCGCGACGTACTTGCTCACCTACGCGTGCGGCGCGGGGGGGTGCGGGATTGGCGCGCGAGTGGGAGTGATCTGCGGTGCGGGGTCGGGGCTGACGGTGCCTGGTAGATGAGCGCGCAGACAGGCGAGCTGAACCAGCCGACGCAGGTCCGCATCGCCTTGATCTTGTCGGCGTGCGCCGCGGCCTGCTCGTCGGTGAAGTTCATCAGCTCGCGCAGGATGGCGTCCATCGCCTTGCGCCCCTCCTCGAGGATGTTGACGAGCGCGTGCTCCGCACAGGTCGGGTCGTCGTCGCCCTCGCCCAGCCCGAGGACCAGCCGCGCAGCGAGCCGCGCCGTAGACGCCCGGTCGTTGCACGCGCACGTGGGGAGGAAGCGGCGCAGCAGCTCCGCCGCGCGCGCATCCGCGAGGCCGGCCTCCTCCATGAGCTTGATGACCTCCTCGATCGACTCGTGGTACGCCGACGCCTGCGCCTCGGCGGTCTTGCTCGAGGCCGTCGACAAATCGAGGGCGCGCAGCTCGAGTTTGCCGTTGACGCGCCGCGAGAGGACGGTGCCGATGCGCTCCATCTGCTGCGCCTCGGCGCCGTCGGCGATGTAGCAGCACGAGGACTCATCCGAGTTCATGAACTCCAGCAGCCACTGGCCGACCTGGAGCTTGTTGAGCTCGTAGGAGACGCCCGCCAGCTCCTTGCAGTGCGTCGCCTGCGGCGTCTCTGGCAGCCGCTTGACGACGGAGGTGCGCTTGCCGTCCACGATCGGGCCGGGGACCTTGATCTCGCGGTACGGCAGCTTGACCCCCAAGAGCCGCGCGAAGATCGGGAACAGCTTCGGGATCTTCTGCCGCGCGATGCCGAGGTGCATCACCGAGATGCACGCAAGCTCCGTCTCGGCGTTGAAGTGGTTGCCCAGCTTGAAGCGCGCCTTGGTGGGCTCGGCGATGGCCTTGAACTTTGCGGCCTCGGCCTGCGCCGCCTCAAGCTCGGCCTGCAGCTTGGCGCACTGCGCCTCCACCGCCTCCAGCTTCTCTGCCGTCGCGTCTCCGCGCCACAAGCTCGCGCGGGCCGCCCGCTCCTCCGAGAGCAGCCGCTGCGACACCGCCAGGTTGCGCTCGACGAGGTTCACGTCGGAGAGCTTGCGCTGCGTCACCTTGCGCCGCGCACTGAGCTCGGTGATGCGCCGCGTGCTCGCCTGCAGCTGCTCGAGCAGCCCCGAGACGCGCATCGAGCGCAGCGCGTCGAGCTGGTCCTCTAGCTGCGCGAAGAGGCCGTGCAGCTGCGCCGCCTCCTCACACGCGTCGTCCCGCTGCGCCTCGGCGACCTTGGCGCGCCGCTCGGCCTCTGAGGCGATGGAGCCAAAGTGCGCCGCGGCCTCCTTCTCCTGGCTGCGGCACCGCAGCTCCGCCGCAGTCTCGGCCTCGCGCGCCGCCGCCTTGAGCCGCCGCACCTCCGTGCAGAGCCGCCCAGTCTCCTGCCGCTCCGCCTGCAGCGCTGCGTCGAGCTTCGCGTACGCCGCAGCGGAGCGCCGCCGCTCGTCGGCGAGCGCGGCGTCGACGGCGGCCTGCTGGCGGCGCGCCGCCAGCTCGAGCTCGACACGCCGCTCGTCGGCGAGCGCCTCGCTCAGCTGCCGCCGCCGCCGCTCATAGTTGAGGAGCAGCGACACCTGCCGGAGCTGCGACGTGCCGCGCCCACGCGGCGGAGGCGCGCCGCGCACCTCGGCGGCGATCAAGCCGAGGACGTCGCGGCAGCCCTCCAAGAGGTGGACGGCGCTGTCGGCGCCGAGGCGCGGGTGCAAACCCTCGGCAAACGCGCGCAGCTGCGCCGTCACGTCGAGCTCGGCATCGAGCGAGGACGCGCCGCCGCCGCCGCCGCCGCCGCCGCCGCCCGTGTCGGCCGCGTCCGAAAGGGTCTGGAGAGGAACGTGCGCCTGCCGCACGAGTTGGTCGAGTTCGCGGTCGGCCTCCGCCGGGTCCTTCCGGCGAGAAACGGCCGTCGAGCGCCGCTTAAGCGCGCGCTCCACGTCCGCCTTGTACGCGGTCATCCGGCGCTTGTACTTCACGAAGTTCGCCTTGGTCTCCGGCGTGGCCAGCGCCGGGAGCGCCCGCGTCGGCGCGAGCGACTCGTGCCCGGCCATCGCCTCGACCCACCTGGTAAAGATGAGACCCGCATCGCCGGCGCCGCCCCCGCCGCTGGCATATTTGCCGGCCAGGCCGACGAGGGCGTAGGCGTCGATGAGGAGCAGGCCGCCCACGGGCCTCGCCAGGGCCGCGGCGGGCCCTGGCGACCCCTCGAGGGACGCCAGGGTGGACAGGGCCTCTGCCCTAGCAGGTTCTGAAAAGAGAGCGGTCGCCTCGCCGATGCCGCGGAGCTTCTCCTTGGAGGTGTGGAGGTCCTCAGGGGTCGCGACCTGCGCATGGCTCGTCGGGAATGGTCACCAGCGTCGTGTGCGACCTCTCTCCGGAGGCGTGCGACCGAAGGGAGAGCGGTGAGGCGAGGCTGAAGTCACAGCTGAAGCAACTGGATTTCAGTTGCTGACAGTTGTGGGCGATCCCGCGCGAACTGACGGCAGGTAAGCCGGCAGGTGGGGGGCGGGGGTGTGCCGGGTGGATCCCCAAGCGGGCGAGCCGGGCCCATGCATAGTTCGCGCGCGGGGGGCGCGCGAGCATGGGAAAGACGCACCTCCATCGTGCTTGCTACCGGCGCTTTTTTGGCCGTTGGCACCATCGTTGATGACTTGATTGCGCGGGAGTCGAATCCCAAATTCTCTCCGCTCGAGAGGGAATTTAATTGTTTTGGGGGATTCCGACCGACCTACTAGAGCCGTACCTCACGGCTTTAGTGAGGGCGCCTCTCTTGGCGCGGTCTCGCCGTAAGTAAACATTTAAGTGGCCAATGCGCAAGTCGCAAGAGTGACCCCGCGAGATGATCCCATGGCGACTAGTCCAGACCACACTCTTCTGCCACAATGCGTCGCGGTGCGGCGGTTGTGCCGGCGACGACCGCATCCAGAGTCCACGGGAGGGGCGCGGGGGTTGGCTCGCCCGTGGAGTGGCAGTCCGCATTCAGGAATGGAGAGAGCAGCGCCTCCGCCGCCACCGGCCTGTCTGCCGGCACCGGCGTTATCAGCCCGCAGAGCAGCTGCCACGCCTCGCCGTCGAGCGGGAAGGCGCTCTCCCACGCGTCGGGCAGCGCGTCTGCGGCGGCGGCGTCGATGCGCCACGCGGCGAGGTCGTGCCTGGAGAGGGGAGGCTCCGGGCAGGCTCAAGGACAGCTCCGGGCAGGCGCCTCGCGGGGACAGGGTCGTGCCGCTTGTCTCGCAGCGAGAGCCGCAGCGCGTACAGGCCCTCCTCCGTGAGGGCGGGCAAGGCGAGCCTGCGCACGCGGGAGGCAAGCGGCGCCGATCACCTCCTCCTCGTTGGTTGAGGGCGGTGGGGCGGCTGAGGGCAGGGTGGCGGGGAGGGGGCAGAGCCTGAGCCAGAGGAGGCCGGCCGAGTAGACGTCGTACGTGAAGGGCTGCCGCACGGCGAGCAGCTGCTCGGGCGGGCAGTAGAGCACCTGTCAACGAGTCGTCAACGAGTCGTTCAATCAGTCATCACTCAGCAGCGGCTCTCGAGCGGGCGACGGAGCACAGAGCACGGCACCCTCCCCGCCTCGAGACCTCGCTGCACCACCCAGCCGGCGACGTCGCACGCGGACCCAAAGTCGATCAGCGCGAGCGTGCGGCCTCTCGTGTCGACCAGCAGGTTGTGCGGCTTGACGTCTCTGTGCACGACGCCGAGCGAGTGGATGTGGGCGAGGGCCTCGAGGACCAGCTGCAGCGTTCGGCGAGGCAGCTCGGACGCGACGCAGCCGAGCGCCGCTGTTAGTTCCACCCGCCCCTCGTCGCCGCGCTCGAGGTACTCGCCGAGCGTCGCCTCGCCGCACCGCTCCCACACGAGGTGCAGCTGACCAGACGCCTCGAACTCGCCGATGTATGACGCGATGCAGGATGGCCGGAGGACAGCGCTGCCGCCGCCGGCGCGGCGCCGCACGAGCTGCCGGTTGACGTGCGCCTCGGTCTCGAAGAACTGCGCCGCCCGCTCTCCCGCGGCGGCTCGCTTTGCGACGCACGGCGCGCCGTCGAGCCGTGCATGGTACACCGCTCCAAAGGAGCCCTCGCCAATCGCACCTGTTGCCGGCTCCGTGATGTGTGTGTGCGTGTGTGTTAGGTATGTTGTTGGTCTAGATGTGCGTGTGTTGGCGCCTCCAAGCTCCAAGTGCCTTGCCGCGGAGAAGACGGCCGTGATGACCAGCATTTCCCAAGAAAAAGAATTCCCCGCAGAATTTCTTGGCACGAGGCGATTTGCCTGGGCCCTGGGCGGGGCCACCATTGCCACCAACGCGGGGCCACCAACCGTACAGCGAGCGGGCAGCAGGCCATGCATGGCGTGGGTACAAGCCCGGTTCGCAAACTCTGACAAAGGTCAAAGCTATCACAGGGCAAAGGGCATTTTCGGTTTCGCTTCGCTCCGGCGGCGGTGGGAATAGGTGTAGGTGTAGGTGTGGCACTGAGCCTGTGGGCTGCGCGGCCCCCTGGCTGGGAAGAAATAGGTACCTTAAGGTACGTAGCTCGTAGGTTAGGCAGGCCGTTTTGTCGTGATTGATGAGAGAGGGGGGGGGGGGGTCTTGGGATGTTTCTCTTGTGATAAAGCGAGAGTTTGTTGATTCAGTGACAATGGATGGAAAGGAGAGAAACCTGACTGACCGACAACAAGTGTGCGAGGCATGGGCAGGCAGGCGCTTTAGGTTAGGTAGGTAGGAAGGTGAACAGTCTGGCTCGGACTGGACACCAACGGGGCGGTATGGGTGTGGACGCACACACAAACTCACAAGACACTCGTGCAAACTCGGTGTCTACGCGAGCGACGTGGAACGTTGTGTCCTTCACTCGACTTCACTCGCGTTGGGTGCGTGTCACCGCCCCGACTGCGGACATGGCGGCTGCCACCCCCACGCTGACCCCTGCCAACCGGAGCATCTTTGTGCACTACCACTTCCACGAGACCGCCAGTCGGCCCTGCGAGGCGTCGCGCAAGCGCACGAGCCTCGAGCTCTTCCTCCAGCGCGCGGTGCTACCCAGCCCTCCGAGCGTCCTATTCCTCTTCACGCTGAGCGGCCACGCGCTACCGCCGCCCGCCGCCTACTTTGAGAGCATCGCGCTGCCGCGCGACAAACGCGCAGAGATCTTCCCGTCGCGCGCCAACGTCCTCGTCCAGACCGTCCCGCCCTCGACCACCGACCTCTGCCACAGGGCGCTCGCCATTCGAACTGCTCGCTCACGCTCCCTCCGCAGAGGCGCACCCACGCCCGAGTTCGGGCTGTTCCTCAACGATGGCGCCCGCGGCCCCTTTCTCCACCCCGATAGCCCCACCCTCGGCGCGGCGCTCGGCGTACCTCCCTGGCTGGCCAGGTATGTCGGCGCATTCTCCGAAGGCGGAGGCGCCGGTGGCAGCGGCAGTGGCGGCAGCGCTCGCATCGGCGCCGTCGGCGCCTGTTTCTCGTGCCAGATCGACTCGCACCTACAGAGCTGGGCGATGATGGTCGATTGGCGCCTCTCGGCCCTCCTCCTCGAGCGCTACTCGAAGACCTGCGCCCGGCGGGTCGGCGGCCCTGGCCGCCTGCCTGACGCGGCCAAGCGGGAGGCGGTGGTGGAGGGGGAGGTGCACACGTTTAGCTATACCGCCCCACCAGTCCCTCGCCCTCTCTCACTCGTCCGCCACGCCTCCCTCTGTCGGTCACGCCACTCCCTTCCTCCTCCACCTCGCAGGTGCGTCCGATTGCGCACATCCTCTCATTGGGCTATGCGATCACTTCCTTCTTTCCGCGCCGGCTGACGGTCACCAACGAGCAGAGGCTGGAGATGCAGGTGGGGATGCGAAACTCGGGCTGCACCAACGCCTTTAACAGCCCCGCGAGCTTCCACTCAATCGGTTTCGGCACGCTCGGCGAGATGACCTTTGCCAAGGCGGGCGGCGAGCAGTGGAGGCGCGGCCTGATGCCGCCCTCGTACTCACGCCGGTTGGACGCCGCCACGGCACGGCTGCTCCCGGAGATGGGACGGGCCAATGGGGATTGCATCGACGACCTCAAGTACGTGTGCTGCCCGGGTGCGACGCGGAGGCAGTGCGGCGGGTCGAGTGGTGGCGCTGCGTGGGCAGGCCCCTTTTCTTGCCCAAAGGACTCGAGCTGCGTCGCGGCGAGCGATTGCAAGACCGAAGGCGGCGTCCGTAGAAACGGGTCTGCCGGGATAGCGACGATGTGACTGTTTAGTGGAGCGTACCGCCAAAAAAGTGAATCTCCACCAGATATCATCGGATCTCTCACACGCAGGAGAGATACAACCTCCTACTTCGAACACCTCTCTCCAAGACTCCAACCACGCTTTTGTGGTCTCTCGTTGGGGGGCTTTGACCCTGTGTCCGAGAGCATCTTCTTTGTACGACGCTAGTGCGTAGTGGAGAATGGTCTGGAGAGCGGAATTTTTTTCATAATTAGAGGGTGCGTTTGTTTTCAGAGAGAGAGATTTTTAGCAATACCAAACAACTCTAACACTCACGTATGTAGCTCTTACGTACGTACCCGAAGGTGAACTGCTGACAGGGTTTGCGATGAGGAGCGATCCGAACGTGGTATTCGGGTGATCAGATCACTATACCGACGCAACGAGCACTGCGACGGATCGGGCTCATGCTAGCATCCACCGCTTTTAGAGGAAACTACTGAGACTCACAAGAAAAGCACAGTACCCTACGGCCTGCTGGCGCTGTCCACCTCATTTTGGTTTTTTGCTCCTGGACGTGCCCATCGTCCGCAACACTGACTGACGTTGAACCTTCTTTTGTACTAGGCTAGGATTGAGAGCAGCCTCGCTCTCAATCCTAGAAGTCGCAGGATTGTGAGCAGCACTCCTCGCAATCGTAGCATCTCTGTCTGTGCGATTGTGTGAGTGACTGACCAATCACCGCAAGAGAGAGGGCTGCGATGCGCTGCGCAAGTCGGTGCCGCTCAGCGCTGCCGCAAAAGTGGCCTGGGCATCTCTCGGTGCAGCAGAGACCAGACATTCCTCGGCGCCGTTCTTTTCTTTTGTTTGTTGTCTGGTGTTTTAGTGCCAGGGTTCCGGCTCCAAGCCAGATAGGGGGTCTGTGGCCCATGACTCGCGCCAAAACGCCCTACCTACCTACCTACCTACCCCCAGGCCGCGCAGCGAAGCAAAAAAAGACGAAATAGGGGGTACCTACCTGTTGCAGGGCCCTCTGGGGCGGTCAAAACCGGACCTACCTACCTATTGGGTAGGGTGTCACCGTGGACAGACTGTTGAGTATATGAGCGACCCAGCTCGAGGGTTGCTCTTGACTCTGGCCTTTTCGGGTCACGTAGCCACACCTCGCCTCTTCGGTGCGAGTGGCTGCCAGTTCGACTCTGGGGAGGATCGAACCATCACAGACCCCCTATCTGGCTAGGAGCCGGAACCCAGTGCCGACCAGCCACGCTCCCGTTGTGGTAGAGCATGACTGGCAGCTCGCTCCTCGAGCAGCAACGCCTCACCCTACCTCTGGCTGTGCACGCCCTCATCGCCTCCATCACCGGTGCACTGCTCGGCTTTGACCTGTGTATTGCCGGCGCCATCCTCACTCCAGTGCAGCGTGCACTCGAGCTCTGCTACCCTTGCGGAGATGGGAGCGACACAGCGCTCGCCAGGTGTTCATGTGTCGAGAAGCAACTTGTCATATCGGCTGTCTCCATCGGCGCTTGCTTGGGAGCGCTCTTCGGAGGCCTCGTTGCTGACCGAGTGGGCCGGCGCCCGGCGCTACTCGCCTCGGACCTCCTATTTGGTGCGGGAGGCGCAGCTATGGCATTCGCGACGAAATCCGCCACGTGGCTGTTCTTTGTTGGCCGCGCCTCTGTCGGGCTGGCGCTTGGACTTGGTGGCGCAGCGGCCTCTGCCTATCTGGCCGAGATTGCGCCAGCGGCGTGGAGGGTGAGAGGCGACGCCACCGCCACAGAAAGATGGCAGGCCGTTTCCTGAGCGGTACTCATTTATAGGGCCGCTTTCTCGAGTTAATGGAGCTGTGCGTGTGCGTTGGCTGCCTCGGCGCGTATGCCGTCGCCTACGGACTCGGCGACAGCCGCTGGCGCGCGAGCATTGGCCTGACCACCCCTGTCGCGGGGCCTCACAGCTCGTGCTCTCCCTCTGTCTCCTGCCCACCCTTCCTTGCGACCGTTCCTCGATTGCGAGTGCAGGCTGCAGCTGCTGCTGATTCTGCTGCTATTGCACGAGAGTCCGCATTGGCTCACGGCTCACGGCTTCACGCGCTCCGCCGCGAAAGCCCGCGCCGTGCTCGGCCCGCCTACCGCGGTCGCCACCATCGAAGTTGTCGCGGCGGGCAGCGGCGCCGAAGAGGAGTCGCCGCTGATCTGCGCTGGCCGAAGAGGGGCCTTGCGGCATCTCGGCGCGAGGCAGGCGGCGCGCGAGCTCTGGCTGGCACGGCGGCCGCTGGCGGTCGCGCTCGGCGTGGCGACAGCGCACGCCGCGACCGCCGCCAACACGGTGCTCCACACACCGACACAACCCCGGGCCCGAATCACGCGAGGCAGCAACGGGCATACACGGGAACGCCGGGGAAGACAGTCACACATACCAACCGCAAAAAGGTGCTCTACTACTCGAGGGACGTGCTGCAGCTCGCAGGAATGGGTGCGAAATCGCTCCTCTGCTCCACCACCAAACCCGCCTCTGCACCCTTCTGGCCATGCAGCGTTGCCCTCGGTGACCCTTCACGCGCCTTCCGCCCACACCCGCCTGCAGGCGACGCCCTGCTCGCGTCATCTGCGGCGGGGCTCGACAGAGCGGGCAGGGCTTGGGGTCACACCGACCGGAGTGGTTTATTGGCTCTGAGTAGGTTGGGCTCGCCAAGGTTGCGGGGGTGCTGGCTGCGCTGGCGCTGACCGACCGGCTTGGCCGCCGCGTCCTCTTGATCGGCGGCACCACGTGCATGGCGCTCTCCTTGTGCGGCCTTGCAGGGGCCTTTGCCGACGAGGCTCACCCCAGCCCCGGCCTCGCGCTGGCGTCGCTGCTCGTCTTTATCCTCGGTGCGAGAGATCATGGCAGTTGGGACTTGTGTAGCCGTGGCCGCTTTGGGTGATTGGGCCTCTCTCGCTGGCTCTCGGCTCTAGGCTGGGACATCTCGTGGGCGGGGCTCATGCTGGCGGTGGTGGCGGAGGTGCGGGTCTCGGCCGTAAGCTTACCTGAGATCACTCGAGATCACCTGAGATCACCCGAGATCACCCGAGGTCACTCGAGATTCCCAATAGATATCACCCGAGATCACCCGAGTCTAGGTGCTGCCGCAACGCGTGCGTGGCACCGGCACCGGCCTTGCCTACGGCCTCTATTGGCTACTCTCCTTTGTCACAGCGCAGTTCCTCGAGAGTGCTATCCACGCACTCGGCTCCGCGCCGACATTTAGCGCCATTGGCGGCATGTGCGGCATCGTGCTGCTGTGGACGTGGCGGTGTGTCCCTGAGACGGCAAACCGCAGCCTCGAGGAGATGGAGGAGACGAGCCATGCGGTGCGGAGAGAGTAGCGCCATGTCAGCCGCCCGACGCGTGCCAACGTGGGGCCTGGGACGGCTCTCCACCACCACGTGGGTCGGGTTGTCAAACGAGATAGGACTGTGCTTGTGAGTGCAACTTTTCCGCCGCTCAGTCACACGCGCACACTCTCATTGCTACACGTGTTGCTACAGTTGAGATTGTAAATTGCACGCCGCACCGCCGCCGCACGCCGCACCCGCAGTCGCACTCTCTGACACGTCGCGAAAAATCTACGTTATCTAGCAGAGATATTTTTCTCCCGGTGAATGAATATGATAATTATTAATATCCCATACATGCCATGTGCACATCTTCTCACACATTGTGCCTGATAGCTTATTACGGGAGCTGGCCTCGTTGACCGGGATTTGCACTCTCTGCACGTTCGGCGATGGGCTCGCGAGAACCGAGGAGGTCGAGGACGGCACTTACGGCCGGAGTCCCTGACGCGGCTGCACGCCTCACCTCGCCATCGTCCGCAGGCCGAGCCACCTGCGAGAAGACCTCCATGAGCATGGCCCTCCGCGCCACGGCCCTGAACTCACCGGTGACTCCGGTGCTGGTGCCCGTGATCTTCGCGGCGTCAAATCTGGCGGAGCGGCCCCGGATAAGAGCTTGGACCGTCCGGGAATCGGGCGTGCTGCCGGGCTCGAGAGTCGGCGACTCCATGTCGGACCTCACGCGATCGAAGGACTCGATCGCAAAGGCGACAAAGATGTTGAGACACACGAGCACCGCCAGGATGTAGAAGGAGAGGAAGTAGAGGCGTGCCCAGACGGTGCCGCTTGCCTCGACGATCCCCTCGCAGATGACATGCCAGTTGTTCACGATCAGGAGCTCGAAGCATGTCACGCAGGCGGAGCCCTGGCGGTCCACCCGCGGCGTTGGCGCGGCCGCAAGATGAGTGTGCTGGGGGCGGGGAAATGGCGCCGCCGGGGGAACGGGGGCGGGGGGGGGGGCGGGGGAGGGGGTCACCATATCGTTGAAATTGTTTGGGTAGTAGCCGAGCGTGCCGAAATCGCTCTGGCTCGAGGGGCGTGGAGGGTCGCTCTGGACCAGACCGCCGAACAGATAGACGCCGAGCGCGGCGTAGGTGAAGATCAGCGCGCAGAGCACCTTGAGCAGGTCCGAGGCGGCGGGGAGCATGTGCACAAAGGTGGACGAGACCGCGCGCACCTGCGGCACCACGCCGAGGAGGCGGAGGAGCCGGACGAGCCGCAGGGCGAGCACGTACCGGATGTAGCGGCTGTCGGAGAAGCTGTTGGGCAGGTACACCAGAGCCGTGACCACGACGGCGGTCAGGCTGACGAAGGCGTCCAGGCAGTTCTTGAGGGAGCGGACGTACTCGTAGAAGCCGAGCACGAGCAGCTTGAGGCACATCTCCGCGACGAAGAGGCTCGTGAAGAAGACCTCGGCCACGTTCCACCACGAGTCGATCCGGCCACTGAAGATCTCGGCGGCAGGCGCGTGCTCCGACCCGCTGAGGAGGTCCCACTGCTCCATCAGCAGCACACCTCCGTTCGCAATCAGTGCGAGGTCGATCGCATTCTCGAAGGCGGCCGAGCGGACGACCTCCGCCAGCCGCAGCGTGATGCCCCGTGCGAGGAGCCGGCTCAGCCGCGAGCCGATCCAGGTGGACCGGTTGGCTCGCTCAAACCGGAGCTCGAGCACTTGCGCGAGGTGCAGGAACTCGTCGAGCGAGATGCTCCCCTCGCCGGACCGGTCCAGCGCTGCGAAGGCGAGCCTCGCCTGCTCGCTGTCGATGTGCGCAATCTCCTTGTAGTGGTTGAGCTCTAGGAAGACGTCCAGCAGCGTAAAGGCTTGCAGCTCCGCCATGGGGGCCTCACCCCCTCGGGCGCCGCCCGCTTGGAGGATCAAGTAGGCTTGGCGGAGCGACCTTTCGCGGAAGGCTGTCGTCGACTGCTGCACCGCCTCGACTTGCTCTTTGTGCGCGTTGACCACGACCGCGAGGATGAGGTTGAGGAGGAACAGGGTCCCGATGAGCAGAAAGGCGCCTACGCGGCCCCAACCAGCAGCACGGATGCCGACGGGCGGGCGGGGAGCGGGCGGGGAGCGGGCGGGGAGCGGGCGGGGAGCGAGCGCGGCGCGCGCGCCAAAGAAGAGGATGGCGGAGCGGGACGACGTGTATGCCGGCATCATGACGTCGGGGAAGTTGCAGGTCGTCAAGAGGATGGTGAGCTGCCACGCCGTCTCTCCAAAGTTGGGGAGCTTTTGAGAGCCCTCGTCGCTGTGGCCGCCATACAAGAGCATGCCGACCCATGCGCAGAAGCAGACAAAGGCAACCAGCACGATGCCCACGCCAGCGAGCGGCTTGAGGACGCGGCGCACGGTGGCGAGCTGGGTTCGGAGCTGGCGCGAGTGGTGCGTGAGGAGGAGGAGGCGGAGGTAGGGAGCGAAGCGAAAGGCGGACCTATGTGGCGAGGCGCCATGCCTCCTGCCCTGCGTGCGGTGAGGTAGCGACTGCTACGCAGGTAGGCTGCCACACCAGGGCGTGAGCACCGAGGCGATGCAATCCGCAATCGCGAGTAGGAGGAGTGAACCCGAAAACCGGTGAGATTGAGAGCTTTTGTAGCGGTCGAAGCCGAGGTACGTCACCTCGAGCGCGACGCGACCGGCGAGCAGTCCGAGCAGGAAGCTCTCGACGGCGAGCGCCTCCCACCGTGAAAGCATCGGCAGCCCAAAGAGCGGGTAGATGGCCTCGCCGGAGATGCATGGCGCCTCTGTGGTGGCACACCACGCCGGGCGCTCGAAGAAGCAGAGGAGCACTTGGCCGAGGAGGGCGAACTGTAGTCCAGGCTCACACCAGAGAAACCATTTGTGAGCACGGCGAGCAGTCGGCAGCGGGTGCATGTGCGCCATGCCCGTAAGAGCGTCGTGGATGTAGTGCGATGCCTCCACGACACTCCCATGCATTAACGGAATACATGCTGAGTACATTGCAGCGGCCAGCCGCCTCGCAGGTCGAGGAAGCGGAAAGCCGACAGCGCCCTGGACGCACCTTGGCCTCAGAAAGAAGAAATTCGCCGGCACACTCTCTCCAGCAGAGAGCGAGGGGTCCGGGGGGGAGCACAAACATAGGACGCCCAGCCTTGCCCTCGTGCCGCCGAGTGCATATCCTATGCGAGAGAGATCCCCTGTGCCCTGTGCCCAGCCCTCTCCGCGCGGCGATGCGCCCTCCCCCCTCGCTTTTGCAAAATCCTGCAAAGGTGGGGACGTGTCTGTCCTCGACCCAGCCCTAGCTTGGGATGTCCGTTGTATTTATTTATTTATTAGCAGACGGAGATGTCAGCTCTATTTATTTATTTAAGGAGATGTCTGCTCTATTTTTTTATTTATCCACAGCTCCAAGTTCCAAACCAAACTTTGATCTTTGTGTTCTCCTCAATTTTCCCCGCAGTGGGTCACACACACACACACACACACACACACACACACCACACAACAAAGAACCCTGCACAAAAAGATCACACGGGCGGGGACCTGTTCCTTTTTACCCATCTCCTAGTAGAAGTGTCCGTTTTATTTATTTACACACACACCGCCGTGGTGTGGTTCCATGGCGCCCCACGCGCCGGCCAACACGACTCCACACGGCGCGCAACCTGCGCAACCTCGGGCGGTCCGGTTTGGATATTTTAGCTATCAGTGATGCGCCACCTGCTCGGCAGGAGTTTGCTCGGCAGATTCACTGCACCTGTCGCGGCGCGGCGGGGCGGGGCGGGCGTCAGAGGCCCAGCCTCTCTCCTGGCGGCGGGTGGGTGCCGCCGCATGACTCTGCCCAGTCATCACCGTAGTAAGTACTCCGCACCGCCCAGTGGGCCTCCGGATAGAGCTAATACTTGGATGGGGGTTGTAATCATCGGGCGAGGTGGGGGAAGGGGGGGGGGGGGGGGGAAAATTCACAGCCGGAGGCTGCGCGCCTTCTTGCCCTCCCCGCTGCCGCCGGGAAGCCGATCGCTCTCGCTGTGGTACTTCCGGAGGAAGGCGCGCGCCATGTCCATGCACTTCTCCTCGAAAAAAACGCCGCGCTCGTCAAAAAGCTCGGCCACCGACCAGTGCACCTGCGTGGGGGCGCATTCGACTACTTAGTTCGCTGGAGTTAGTCAGTCAACACTGACCAGCCCCCCTGGGTGTGGGCGTCGCTAGCAAGCGGCTCGCCCTCCTAAAGGGGGGGAGGGGGGGGGGGGGGGGGGGCCTAAAAGGGGGGCGGACCGACCAAGACCGCGATCTCGGGACCGCCTCGGGTCGTCTCTCCCTGCTCGGCCACCTCGGGCTGCTCCGGCTTGAACTTGGGCGCCGAGACGAGCCCGAGCGAGCCCGAGGGCAGGGGAGTGACGCCGAGGGTGAAGACGTCTTGGTAGCGCGGGAAGTGGGTGGAGACGTTGAGGCCGTAGGGGCGGCGATCCCGCTTCTCCTGGAACGAGGGGGAGGAGGGGGCGGGGAAGGGGAGGGCGGAGTGAGCAGGGAGGAGGGTGGGGGCGGGTCCGGTCGAGTGCGCTGCCGCGCGTGGGCGGTGTGCACGGTAGTGATTTGCGGAGGAGCGCGCCTTGTACCGCAGCAGCACGATGGACTCGAGCTCGACAAACGAGAGCAGCAGCTGCCTACAGCCCAGCGCACACCGCGAGCTCAGACGCCCGCGCCCCGCAGCTGCGTGGCGAGCGAAGAGAAGGCGCGGCTGCAGGATCCCCGACCCGATGAAGTACCAGAGGCAGCAAAGCAGCAACACGTGCCTGCGCGCGCGCCGGGCGGAACGAGAGTCGGCTTGGGTGTGCTCGCGCGTCTTCGGTGCACGCACACCCCCGCGCGCCAGTTTTTGGGGAAGGCCGCCGGATAGACGTGTGAGACGACAGAGGCGCCGACGGAAGCAAAGCCGACGACGAGCTTAAAATTGGACAAGGCGACGTCCTCCACGAAGTCCGAGTCGTCCTCCAGCAGCACGCCGATGATCTGACGGGGGCAGGCGGGGGTTGAGCGGGGCCGGAGCAGGGCGAGGTGGAGTCGGCGCCGCACCGCGTCGTCGATCATGCGCTTCATAGTGATGCCGTCGCCGAGCACGGTCTTCTTCGTCTCGTCACCCGTGTATTGCCGCGTGCTCGATGAAGATGATGACTCCGCCATGGGCTGCCGCTCAGGGCCGACGCGCGCGCAAACCACGCGAAGCTGCAGTGTGTGTCCTCGTCCAAGAAACTCGCAACAAAACGTGAAATGAGCCCACGGCTCTACTAGTGTAGCCAAACGTCAGATCGACTGGACGAGTACAGGATGGATCGACTGGACGGATCGGACCTGGACTCGCGCGACAGCTTCTGGCTCATCAGCTCTTCCGCGAAGGCGCGCGGGCCACGACCCACCCACCCAGTAGGGACATACATGCAAGGATGCCGGAGCGCGGGAGTCGCTAGGCGTCACGCAAGCACCGGAAGGGATATGCACGCGCCACAACGCCCGTCCAGGACGGACGGAGGCGTCAGGACAACGCAACCCTAACCCGCAGCCAAATTGGCACTCGGGCGTGTGCGCGCGTAGACACTACTCCTTGCTGTATGTCCCTACGGCATAATAAGATGCCGATAAATGCCTCAAGAGCCGAGTGTGGGCCGGAAAGCCCAACACTCCCTCGCCAGGAAGCATCGCAACACAAAGAGCTACGTGAAATGAGCCCACGGCTCTACTAGTGTAGCCAAACGTCAGATCGACTGGACGAGTACAGGATGGATCGACTGGACGGATCGGACCTGGACTCGCGCGACAGCTTCTGGCTCATCAGCTCTTCTCGCATTCTGCTACCCACCACCATCCCCTTATCTCCTCCAATGTCTGAGCAGTCAAAGCTGCTCAACTTGAGGGGACGAGGCCAGCATTAGCAGTAGTGTCGCTAGCTAGCGGTGGGATATGCACGCGCCACAACGCCCGTCCAGGACGGACGGAGGCGTCAGGACAACGCAACCCTAACCCGCAGCCAAATTGGCACTCGGGCGTGTGCGCGCGTAGACACTACTCCTTGCTGTATGTCCCTACGGCATAATAAGATGCCGATAAATGCCTCAAGAGCCGAGTGTGGGCCGGAAAGCCCAACACTCCCTCGCCAGGAAGCATCGCAACACAAAGAGCTACCGGGGCATGCTACAAGTGACCCTCCCCCCCCCCCCCTCCCCTCCCCGCGCGCGCCCCCTCTCACTCTCTGACCTTCTCTCTGCACTTAAAAGTGTGTAGTCGAGCTGAAGCTCCTGTCTCGTTTTATTTAGTGTTTGTGTATTCTTCTCTGGAGTAGGTGTGGGGGGGGCGTATGTACTTCTCACGTGAAACCCCAAGGCGCCAAGGGGACCCGGACGCCAGCACACACGGCTAGATATCATGGCTGGCTGGTCGCCTCCCTAGGGCTAGGCCCTGCGATCGGAGGTAGGTGTGTGGTTCTGACCCCCCAATGAACACACCAGTGAGGGAGGGCAAGACGATCGAGGGGTCCCGGTGCTCAAGTGCAACAGTGGGCAACAGAAAGACTGCGGCCGCCACTGAGCGTCTCGCTGGCGGAACGGGGAGAACACAACGAAGGGACGTCCGAAACGCAACACAAGAAGGGAGGCGCACGCCGCACGCGACGGACGTCCCACTGTGTGGAACGGGCTAGCTCAAGGTTGCGTTAGATTGTCAATGGGGAATGGCCGCGTTCTCGCCCCTTTCCTGTACGCGTGGGTCTCAGAGGACGAATGCGCACCGGGTCTTCGAGGACTTCAAAGTCGGCCGCGCCCCACGGCTATCCCGCCGGCTCTCGAGTGTCGCAGCGCGACGCGCTTCACCCCTCGACTCCGCGCTGCGAGTCGATTGGGAGACGACGCTCGGCCACCGCCAACTCCACCCTGACGTGTCGCACATGCGCCGAGTGTCCCCCCCGAGGGTGTCCATGTATAGTATAGTTGGTTGCGAGTTAAAAACAGCCCGTTCCGCACCCGCAGCCAGCACCAGTACACATGCCGTTCTGGTGCCCCTCGGCTGGCCAGAGGACGACTCACAATGCAAAATCGGAAAGACATCACGAGGGGCCGTATAAACGGTGCCGCAGCGGCCCGGGACACTAACAGTGAGTTGCTGCCACTCGCCCGGCCTCCTCCCCCTCGGGGTCGCCCGGAAAGTGGGCTTGCGCACCGGCGCCCCCCCCAGCACGCCGACCCGAGGTGTACCCTCCGGCCACCTGGGAGGGGAGCGGAGTCCGATTTTGGCCCATTGGCTTCACCATGATGGATACGGAGGTGGCCAGCCCTTGGTTGTGCACCTGCGGCGCGAAGAGGAGGTGATCTCGGCGGACGACGGCCATGCCGAGAGCGGGCGCAGCGCGGAAGAGGGTGCGCAGCGCGTCGCGGCCGCGCGCTTGAGAGCCGGGGGGGTGGCCGGAGGGGGTGGGACGCCTGCATGTCCTCGAAGCTCCCACCCGCATACGCAAGCCGTCGAGGCGCGAACGGCGGGGAGGGAGTTTTGGAGGGTCAGCCAAGGACGCGCATGGCGAGTGACAAACGAACGCAACCTGCCCCCTCGCTCATCGTGCCGGAGGAAGTTTGGCTGCGGAGGCGGCGGCGGCGGCTTGGGTGGCGACTGGGGCGTGCACGTGAACAGGTCGACGACAACCCCGCCCGATTGCCATAGCTCCTCGCAGCTTGAAGAGAGGCGGCACCTGCAAAGTAAGTCGCCCACAAGAGGTATCACGGGTCATGACAGAGGTGACACGGCCTGGTTGTCTGTGTCGCGGGGAGGAAAGGAGGTGAATCTTGAAGGCGTGCCCTCACCACTTCTCTTCAAAGCCCCCTTCCGAAAAGAAGGAGACAAAGGCGCACTTGATGTTGCTCTCGCATCGGGCCAGGCATGTGGCGAGATTGGGTGCGAAGCCGGCGCGCACAAGTCCGTCGCCGCAGTAGGTGGTGGTGGACTGAAGCATTGGGTGAGCACAACTCTTCGGAGACGGCGGGGGCGGCGCTGGCCGGGACGGGGGCGGAGCGGGCGGGGATGGCAAAGACGGCGGCGCTGGCGGCCTACACTGCATGCATCCCATGCAGCTTCTCCATCCGCACTTGGTGGGCCACTCCTTGCTGTTCCAGGCACAGTATCGAACGCACGGAGGAGACGGCGGAGCTGCAGAGCTCAGGGACCTTCGTCTTGCCGTTTGCAGCTGAGGTAGTGGAGCCTGCGGCTGCTGCGACTGCGCAGACTGCGGATGCACGGTTGGCAACGCATAGCACGAAGGTGTGAGCTGGTGCAAGGCCATATGTGCGGGTCTGGCGATCGTGCGTCCGCACTTTTTGCCCCCCAAAGTGCGGATCCGGCAAATTCCTGGAAGTCATCAAATTCATGGGCAATTCTGCATTGAGCACTAGAGCACTGGATAGGGTCGATCCCGCATGGTCCGGGACCCCTCGATCGTCTCGCCCTCCCTCGCTGGTGTGTTCATTTGGGGTGGGGTCATATACAAACAGAAACACGGTACAGGATCGAGGTGCACGCTGCTGAATGAAGCAGTTGTCATGCTCACATGGCGCAAAGTGAGCGTGAGGGTCGGCCCGCAGGCGGATATGGTACTAAGACGTAAGAGGTACGGTAGGGTAAGGTAGGTAAGGGGCAATTCGCCTTCTCTTGGGCTTACGTAGGGTCCCACACACACACACACACACAGTTGTGTTGGACGGAGTAATCTTGGAGAAGATAACCGGACAATGCATTTCCGCACGCATAAAGTAAGGCCACAATAACCCTGAAAGATACCACGACCGACTGGCCTACATCCATGCAGCTTGCAAAGCTGCCAAGTGCGCCGGCTTCTCAAGACGCAATGGATGTCCACATGTGGAGTCAAGCATCGGTTGGGCAATGTTGGATGGCGGCCAGTTGGGCAATGGTTGAGAACAGCAGGAACCCAAACAGTTTAGTGGCAACATGTGGATGGATCTCCTGCCACAAACCATGGTTGCAGCACTGGGTACGGCAATTTCGTTGAACACATGGCTCTCCTCAAACACGCGCAAAGCAGACGTGAACTCCGGCCACGCATCGCGCGGAACGTAATACAAATCAACCCATCCAATAGCAAGGCCCCACGCCCAACCACGAGCAAGGAATTTGCGTTTTGCAAGCAGGGTCGCATTGTGTTCTCTGTCCCACCACCATCCATGTGTTGGAATGTCCGCGTTGTCGCTTATCTGGGGCACACCAGCAGACATTACATGCATGGATATGTAGGAGCGTATATTTGCTCGAACAATCGAAAGAAACTTTGGTGTGACCCACATATCCGCATGCATGGCAACATAACCCTGCAAAACCTTGCCCGCCGACCGCATATTTGAAACAAAATCAGCTACGCACACCATTGAATATGTATCTGCCGTCGCACCGCCCAGCCTGAATGCGCCTTCACCGTTGTCATTTTTGCAGTCATGACACCCGAAACCACGATACATTTTATGGTTGCAAGGCAGGGGACCAGGAGATAGGAAGACAACTTGCTCAAAGTATCTTTTGTAGATGCGCAGAACCTTGAGTTTTCGCACATCTTGTAACTCACGGCCTGAGTAAATGTGCAGATGTGTGATGAAGAGAACGACGGGAAGTGGTTGCGTCAAGTTTTCCCAATCCCGTCCGCTGATCGAATCGAATAATCCGACGTACTCTTGATAATATCCCAACTCCGTTTCCAGTCGCTCTACCTTGCTGTAGCAGATCAAAAATGTGAGCATTGACATGCTCAATCCCATGAAGGCCATGATCTGAAGGCAACGACGCCCTGAGAGTGTGGAAGTCACAGCTGTTTCGTCGCCACCGACTGCGCTAAATTCATTGCGGCCCCAAATGGATGCAACCATGCGACCAAAGCTCGGACGGCCGTCGGCCAGAAGGGATGAGTAAACTGATTCTGGCTTGAGCACCTGCGAGCGGGGGGGGGCAGGCGGTGCGAGGTTGAGGGCGCCGTCGGGCGGCGAGCGAGGGCGCATCACAGGGCGGGGTCGGTGCGGGCGTGGCGAGTTCCGTGAGCAACAGGCGGCGGGGTCGGTGCGGGCGTGGCGAGTTCCGTGAGCAACAGGCGTCGCGTGGATCCAGGCCCCGGGGCGTGCAGCTATGGCGACCTACTCGTCGCAGACGTGCAAAAAGAATTTTTCTGAGCAGTTGCGTCGGTTTGTTGCCCTAATCCCACCAGGGGTTGTCTGCTCTATTCATTTGTTTATACTCCCCAAAAGAATTTTACCACGCCCCTCGCACAAAATGGCCCAAAAAGAAAGAATAAGCGGTGCCACAGCACGATTCATCCCTCCCTTGGCTGTCTGTTTTCTTTCTTTCTTTCTTTTTCACGCGACAGGCAAGGCGCGGCGGGCGACGGCTTCCTCAGAAGCCCTCTCACCCAAAAAGAGAATTTAAAAATTAAAGTCGCACAGGCGCATTTTATCTCAAAAGAATTTAATGCCAAGTGCCGGCGAACTCTCCCATCCCTCCCTTGGAGCACCGCTTGGAGTGCAGTCGGTAACCTCACATCCAGGGCCGGTGAGCTGAGAAGCGCATCCAGCGGGCCGGATGATCGGGATCGGGCTACGGGCTAGAGAGCCCTTGTTGCGTGTTTTCTTTCTTTTTGCCACACAGCAGACAGCTGACAGGCCCCAAAGCAAGGAGAAAAGTCAATCAATACCGTCGCGTGAACGCATGAAGATGTACGTGCGTGCCCGCTACTACTCCATGTACTCGCCGGCCTTGCCCGCCAGCCGCCGCCTCGACTCCTCCCTCCGCTGCTCCGACACCACTCGCGACGCGACGCGCGCGTCCGACTTTGCCGACTCTCCGCCCTCAGCCGCTGCTGGCCTGACTGCGGGGTCGAACGAGCCCACCCAAGCGTCCGTCTCCTGCACGCCGCGGCGGCGGTGGGTGAGCGGGCAAGCCCCGTGGTGGGCAGGGGCGAGCGCCGGCGCTGAGTCGCACCGAGTCGTAGCCATCGAGGGAGATCTTAAACTCCCGCGCCTCGCCAAGCCCGCGGGTCGCCAGCACACGCCCCGGGACCCACGCCGCCGCCGCTCCCGGCCGCCCCTCGTCCTCCCCGTCCGAGTCCGACTCCTCGGGCGCTAGGGCGAGCACCCGCGACCCGATCGCAAATGCGTGCGGCGCCGGCGGCGGTGCGAGAGGAGGCGCTGCAGCACCGGCACCTAGTGAGAAGGGATGTGAGAAGGGGGGGGGGGGGGAGCTAGGAAATTGAAAGGGGGGGGGTGAGTGAGTGAGGGAGGGAGGGAGGGAGGGAGGGAGGGAGGGAGGGAGGGAGGGAGGGAGGGAGGGAGGGAGCGAGAGAGCGAGAGAGCGAGAAAGAGAGAGAAAGAGAAAGAGAGAGAAAGAGAAAGAGAGAGGGAGAGAGAGAAAGAGAGAGAGAGGCAGGGAGAGAGAGAGCACCTGCGCCCTGCCTCTCCGCCCCGCCCTTGCCAAACTCGCGGCCTCCCGCCGCCGCCTCCCTCGCCGCCTCCTCCCACGCCGCCGCCTCCATGGCTGCCTCCACCGCTCGCCGCTTCGCCTTCGCCTCCGCCTCCGCCTCCGCCCCGCTCCCCTTCTCCTCCGTCGCCAACCGCTCCGCCCGCTCGAGCGCCGCCGCCGCCGCCACCGCCGCCTCCGCGGCGGCTTGCTCTGATGCGGCTCGCTCGCCGGCCAGCGCCGCCTCGGCGGCTTGCGCCCGCGCCTCCGCCAGCCGCGCCGCCGCCTCGGCCTTGGCGGTGGCAGCCGCCGCCTACTCGGCGTCGCACTTCTGCCTGCACCCCCCACCCCCTCCTCCCGCCGCCATCGCGCGTGGAAGCGAGGGGCGCAGAGGGGCGGGTGGCTGGTGGCGGCGGCGGACTTGGAGGTGGCGGAGGTTGGGGGTGGGGGCGATGGTGGAGGTGGCGAGAGTGGCGGCGGAATCGGGCGATGCGCACCTTGGTAGCTGCCGCCGCCGCTCGGGCCTCCGCCTCCTCCGCGCGCGACGCGGCGCGCGCCTCCGCCGCGGTCGCCGCCTCCTGCGCCGCCGCCGCCACTGCCCGCGCAGCCTCGACCTCCTCGAGCCGGTGAGCGGCCAGCCGCTCCGCTGCGGCTGCCCGCTCGGCCGGCGGCGGCGGCACGACCACCTCGGGCTCGAGGGAGGGGTCCTATGGGCCGCGGCAGAGGCCGTCATCGCATTCGCCTTCCTGGGACCCAGTGCTGACTTCTGACTGCGGTTGCCGTCTCTCCCTTCTCGACTGTCTGTGCTTGTGCGTCTTGGGCCCCGGGGTTGTGCTTTTGCGTGAACCGCGGCGGGGCGGGGGGGGGGGGCGGTCTTGGCTGGGAGCGAGGCTGCCGCGGCCCCGCGTTGCGAGCCGAGCGCGCAGCGAGCCCGATCTCGCTCCGATCTCGCTCCGATCTCGTGCCTGATCTCGGCCCGATCTCGCCCCATCTCGTGACCTCGGCGCCTTTGCGAGCCGGGCGCGGGCGAGCCGGTCGCGGTACACTGGCGCGTCTGCACTGAGCAGCGGCTCCCCGATGCGCGGAGGTCCGCCGCTCGCGTCGCGCCACACCGTCTCGGCGGCCAGGCCCGCCCCCGTGCCCTCTGACGCAGCCGCAGCAGCCGCGGCAGGTGCCGCCGCAGCAGCAGCCGCAGCAGCCGCAGCAGCCGCCGCCGCCGCCGCCTCTATGCGCCGCTGAGCCGCCGACACCGCCAACGCAGCCTCCTGCTCCTGGACCGCCGCCTCCCTCGCCGCCAGGTCCGCTTCTCTCGTCTCCGCCGCCGCCTCCCTCGCCGCCAGGTTCGCTTCTCTTGTCTCCACCGCCGCCTGTCTCTCAGCCAGGTCCGCTTCGTGTGTCTGTGCTGCCGACTCCTTGGCCGCCAGCGACGCGTCCCGCGCCTCAAACGCCGCATTTTGCGCCAGCACGATGCCACGCTGCGCCGCCACGTCCGTCTCGCGCGCCGCCAAGTCCGTCTCACGTTCCGCCAGCGCAGCCTCCCGCGCCGCAGCCTCCGCCTGCCGCCGAATCGCCGCCTCCTCCCTCGACGTGTCTGCCTTTTCGAGCGCGCCTGCCTGTGTGGCGGCTGCCTTTTCGATGGCCAGGACTGTCGCGGCCGTGCCGCGCAGCAGCAAGGTGCGGTGAGGCCCTTCGATCGAGAGGGCGGCAACCTCCGGCTCACCAGTCGGCTGGCTCACGGCCGTCGACAATTCGGTGAGGAAGAGCTCTCCGCACACCTCGCCGCCCTCTCGCTTCCGCCAGCAAACGCGTGGCTTGCCGTCCACATTATCGACGGTAATGAGGCGTGATCGCCAGACCTTGAACGGTGTCCGCCGGCTCTGCGAACTCCGCTTGCTCAACCAGCCACTAGGGCCCTAGCGATCGTGCTTTCGGCGGTCATGTGGATTAAAAACCAATCCAACCTTGCCGCACTTGGTCTTGGAATTGAGTTTTTTCCTCATCAAAAGTGCGAGGGAGTTCGCTTGTATTCTTCTTTTTTTGTCTCCCGTGGTGTACATCGGGCCGGACCAAGGGATGGCAAAGGTTGCGTTATTTTCCACGCCCTTCTTTCGTTCTACTCGAAAGGAGTAGCAAAGTTCGGAAGAAGAGAATGTGACACATTTCTTGTTGGCTTCTACAAATCTCTCTCTAAGTTCGGCGATTGTGCCGCCCCCCGCTAGACCGCCGGTCCGGTGCCAATGGCGCTAGCAAACATCGTGTCGGAGACCGACAGCCTTCCCGAAGCGGCATTTCAAGCGGCTGGGCGAGGCGAGGAGGCGGCACTGCTGGCGTGGCTCGACAGCGGCGGGCAGGTCAACGCAACTTGCAGGAAAGGCGCTGTGAGCAGCGTCACCGCGCTGTTGGTCGCCGCCGGCAACGGCCAGGAGCGGGTGGTCGACTTGCTGATCCAGCGAGGCGCGGAGGTCGACCTGCTGAGCAGTGCCGGCCACACCGCGCTGATGTTCGCCGCCCGCAGCGGCCAGGAGCGGGTAGTCGACTTGCTGATCCAGCGCGGCGCGGAGGTCGACCTGCAGAACAGCAGAAAGGAGACTGCGCTGGGGTTTGCGGCCCACACCGGCCACCCCGCCGTCGTGCTCCGCTTGCTGCGGGCGGGCGCGGATACGAAGTTGCGCACTACGGACGGCAAGTCCGCGCTGCAGCTGGCCAAGGAGCAGGGCCACAGCGCGTGCGTCGAGGCCTTCCGGCAGCACATCGCGGAGGTGACTGCGAGACAGCGCGAGGCGGCGGCGGGCGGCGCAGGTTCCTCGGGCGAGGCGGCCTCTTCCAGCTCGCTGGGCAGCCTTACAGAGGCGGTGGCCGCGGCCGGGCGAGGCGACGAGGCGGCGCTGCTGGCGTGGCTCGAAAGCGGCGGGCGGGTCAATGCTTCTTGCAAGCTAGGCGGTGAGACCCCGCTAGGTGCCGCCGCTGCCAGCGGCCACGAGCGGGTGGTCGAGCTGCTCCTTCAGCGCGGCGCGGCGATCGACCAGCAGAACAGCAACGGCTGGACCACGCTGACGGCTGCCGCCCACCAAGGCCAAGTGCGGGTGGTCGAGCTGCTGCTGCGGCGAGGCGCGGAGGTCGACCTGCATGGGTCTCTCTCTCAACCCTCCCGCCCGCCACCTCTGCGGACCCCTCTCTAGCACCGGCGGCTGTGCTACTACAAATGAAGCTACCAGCTAGCCTTCTGGGGCCCTACAGTCATATGCCTACGGCGTCTGGGTGGGGGTGGCCGCCGCCGTCTGTGCCGCCGCCGCCGCCGCCGCCTGCGCCGCCATCTGCGCTCCCCAGGCGGCCGCCCCTGCCGGCGTGATCACGCCATAGGAGGGGGGCAGCTCCAGCGCAGAGTACCTGCGCCAGCTCTCCATGAGTCAGCGCAGCAACGGGGTCTTCATCAACGACCCCAAGGGCCTCTTTATCCTCCGGTGGTACCGTGAGGTGAAGGGTGACGGGACCCCCCCAGACGGCCCGCGCTACCAGAACAGAGCGTGCATCCAAGTACTACAAGCTGACGAGCGACAACGATGGGGAGGCCTTCCGCTGGACCAGCAACTACCAGATCATCAGCAAGGTGTACCTGAAGAAGCACTCCACCCTGCCTCTCTGCTATTCTCTCAGTGCGGCAGACAAGAAGATGGTGACGTCCACCATGAAAAAGATGGTGGGACCGGAGGCAGAGTAGAGGCTAGAGTATGTATGTGTAGTAGAGTCCTGCTGGTCTCCTCTTGATAGTGTCATAAGTGTGGCTGGTGTGTGTCACAGCCTGACAGCACCCCGACAGCACCACCTGACAGCACCTGACAGCAACAGCCCACCGTCTGACAGCAGCAGCAGCCTGTGCCTGACAGCTCTGACAGCTCCGACAGCGTCTGACAGCAACACCCGACAGCTCCGACAGCACCTGACAGCTACAGAACCCCTCGCCTGTCAGACATGCACCCGACAGCACCCGACAGCACTGACAGCACCTGACAGCTGGTCTGACAGAGGCACCTGACAGTGCCTGACAGCTGCCCGACAGCCCGACAGATCACCTGACAGCACCTGACAGCCTGACAGCCAGGGCTCAGCGGGGAAGGCGACGGAGAAGGCGAGGGCGGCAGCAGGCTGCTGCAGGTCGCCTTCCACCCAGAGTCATTGTCGCCTAGACAGCTCGCGCCGCTCTGCCCGGGGTACCAGTTCCTGCCCGTGTTGCACGGCCCATCGCTGAACTCCCAGCGCCCCTGGCCACCATCGAAAAGCAAGTAGCGACGGCTACCTTTCTTGTACACCGCCTTGCCGCCGCATGCGCGGCTGGTCTTGCTCCACCTCCCGTTGTACCAGCTATTTGGGTGGTTCGACACGATGTAATCATCGCAGCCGCAAACGGGCGACGGTGGTGATGGCGGAGGCGGACACGGGACAGCGGTAGTGGGGCGGCCACTCTGCCACACACCAGTAGTCCGTGTCGCTTTCGGGATCGAGCCGATACTCGCACTTGGTGACGAACTCAGCTGTCCCAATATAGTAGCCCTCGCATGCTACCTTTGCACTTGTATTGAAGGAGCCTGTTTGTGCTAGCATCTTGCACCAGCGGCGCTTGGCCGTCGCATTTGTAAGAGTCGTAGTGAATGGCTGATCGAGGCCGCAGCTAGGAGGAGGCGATGACGGCGGGGGCGCCGGCGACGGCGGCATGGGTGGGACTGGAGCGGGGGGAGCGGGAGGAGGCGGTGATGGTGGCGGTCTAGGCGGCGGCGATGGTTTTGGAGACGCTGGCGATGGTCGAAGGAGTGGTGGTGGCGGCGGCGGTGAATGAGGAGACGTGTTAGGCCCTATGGGTGGTTCAGACGGGGGAGACGGTGGACGTGGAGAGACATTCGGCCAGACAGGCGGTTCAGATGGGGGCGACAGCGAGGGGGGAGGTGGTGGTGGTGGCGGTGGCGGTGGCGATGGTGGTGGTGGCGGTGGCGATGGTGGTGGCGATGGCGATGGTGGTGGTGGTGGTGGTGAGCACTCATATTCGCAGCACCGATAGCATTCTTGAAGGCCAAGGAAGCCGCAGCCGATGCCACCGCGTGCGTCCCACGAGGATCCACAGGGCCCTGAATAAAAGTCACACCGTGAGTGGCATTCTGAACCCCACCGGCATCTGGGGCCGCACCGGGCCCACGCGTGTGCTGCAGGAATCCAGAAGGCGAGGAAGTTCAATGCGAGGGGAGGCCACATAGCGGGAAAGCACAGAGGGAGACGTGGCACCGAAATGGGAGGCTCACGCAGAAGCGATGCTCACGTTGTGCCGAGCAGTAAGGCCGAACTTGCTGCAAGCGCTCACAAATCGCGCCTGGTTTCGTTGCACCTTGGTCTTACTCCTCTCAACTTGTTATCTGCAGATTTCACGAATAGCATGAACAAGAAGACAACCAAGAAAAAAGGAATAATCTCAGGACGCCGCGCCGTCCCAGCAAACGGCAAGCCGATGGATCTCTTCTCTCTCTCTCTCTCTCTCTCTCTCTCTCTCTCTCTCTCTCTCTCTCTCTCTCTCTCTCTCTCAACCGGGATGAGATCGGGAGATACACATATCTGCCAATAATCTCCCGCTTGCATAGTTAATTTCGTTTGCCGCCGATCTGCAGCGGTTAGCACCTCGCGACTGGCTAGGTAGCCGCCCATCGGCATCGCGCATCGGAGCGCCGCCTCGCCGGGGAGCGGCTGCGGGGTCTCCGGGCTCTGACACGAGGCACGAGCCATGCTTTAGCTCCGGCCGCAGCCCCGCCCAGCGCCGCCCTTAAGAGCTTAGTTCGTCCCCTCGGTAGAGAAGACTAATCCTGGGCGCTGGGGAAAGCAACCAAACAGCAAACTCCGAATGTTGTAAGCGAAAAAGTTACAATCAACCGAAAAAGCGCGCGCACACGCACACTGGACTCTGATGGAGCGCCGAGCCTACGTTCGCGCACACGCGCGAGAGTGTCCACGACCGCGCGCTGGGAGACAGCTAGTACACCACGATAAGAGACGAAGCGATGCTCCGCAAGGCGCCGAGGCGTGAGCCGATACGCGCCTCGGCTCTCGCGCAGAGGCCGCTGCGGCGGGCTCAGTCGTCAAGGGTGAGGCACGAGGCCTTTGCGTCAGGCGTCAGGCGTCAGGCAGGCATCTCCTTGAGGAGCTGGCCCGCGATGACGAGGCGCTGGATCTCTGAGGTGCCCTCGTAGATCTCGGTGATTCGCGCGTCGCGGTAGTAGCGCTCGGCCGGCATCTCGGTCACGTACCCCATGCCACCAAGCACCTGGAGCGGATGGGTGAGGGGAGGGGTGAGGCCCGCCGGGCTGCCCAGGGGTCTGCCAATCTGTCCCGAAAGGGGGAGGAGGGGGAACGCGCGGCCGCCTGGATGCACGCGTGCGCGTTCGCAGTCGCCGCCTCGGAGGCGGCCAGCTTGGCCATGGCCGCCTCCTTGGTGTACGGCGCCTAACCACGAGTCGCCGCTGCTGTGAGCAGCCGCGGTCCACAACTTGGCCGTGTCCGCCTCCGTGGCGCGTGGTGCGCCTTAGCGTCCTTGAGGTTCGCCGCGCGGTGCGTGAGCAGCATCGCCGCCTCATACCTGCACAGCAAAGCTCCGGGATGAGCCGAGAGGGGCCGAGAGGAGCCGAGATGGGCAGCCACCTCGCGCCGGACGGCCATGTCGGCGAGCAGGAACTGGACCGCCTGGTGCTTGGCGATGGGCGCGTCGAACGTCTTGCGCGTCTGCGCGTAATGCGTCGCCTAGAAGAGGAGCGGTGCTACTCAAGACACAAGCAGGCTGTCGACGGCGGCTGCGCACAGCCGCGTCGCCGTCTCGAGCGCCGCGCGCGCGATGCCGAGCGCCTGCGCCGCGATGCCGATCCGCCCGCCGTCGAGCGTCGACATGGCGACCTTGAATCCGGCGCCGGGCGGGCCGAGCATCGAGTCCTACTCGCCGGCAGGCCGCCCTTTGGGGTTCGGCAGCTCTCGGACTCTCGAAACCATCTCGGCTCATGTCGGCCTTTGGGATGCGGCAGCCCTCGAAGATGAGGTTGCCCGTGCTCGAGGCGCGGATGCCGAGCTTGTCCTCCTTCTTGCCGAGGGAGAAGCCGGGCGTGCCCGCCTCGACGAGGGAGGCGGAGAGCGTTCGTACGACTTCTCTCCTCACTGTCGCGTCACTACTCTCACTCGGGCGGGTCTTCTCGCCTCGACGAGGAAGGCGGAGAGCCCCTTGTGCTTGAGCGACTTGTCCGTCGTCGCGATCACGATGGCCGCGTCCGCGTCGTGTGCGTTGGTGATCCACGCCTGCGGCGGCAACCACAGAGAGCTTCGCCGAGATCCTCGGAGCCCGAGACCCCCCCCCGGGGAAGGGTATCTCGGCCTCTGTGCGAGTCTCGCCTTTGTGCCCTCTAACACCCACTCGTCGCCGTCCAGCGTGGCGGTGGTGGAGGCGGCGGCGGCGTCGGAGCCATTGCCTGGCTCGGAGAGCCCAAAGCAGCCTGGCGCGGGAGGGGGGGGTGCGTGTGTGTGAGTGTGCGTGCGTGTGCGCGTGTGAGAATGCGTGTGTGTGTGTGAGTGTGCGTGTGTGCGAGTGTGTGTGTGTGTGTGTGAGAGTGTGTGTGAGAGAGTGTGTGCATTCGTGTGCGTGAGGAGCAGCACGCGGCTCCTCTCGACTGCAACGGCCACTCCGTCGCCGGAGGGGAGGGTGTGTGGTCGCGGGATGGTGTTGGGGCAAGCAGCTGCGGCGCAGGAGGACCCGCCGTCACCAGGTGGCGTAGGTGGTGGCGCTCTTCTGCCGAGGCCAGTGGTGAGGCGACTGGCCAGTGTGGGGGCCAGTGTGAGCCAGTGTGGGCACCGAGCTTCTGTCCAGACGCGTACGGCTTGAGCCACTTCTCCTACGAGAAGGGCGCGAGACGGCTCAGGAGGCGAGGGCCCTCCGTTGGCGGGGGCACGACCCCGCGGCCCCGTCTCTCCTGTTGGTCCGCGGTGCCGTACCGCATCACGGGGTCGCAGTAGAGCGAGTTGTTGACCGACATGATGACTATTAATTGATTCATAATGAGGAAGTAATTATTAGTTAGTTGTTGACCGACATGATGACTATTAATTAATTAATACTGATTAATACTTAGGAAGTAATTATTAGTCAGTTGTTGACCGACATGATGACTATTAATTAACTAATATTGACTAATACTGAGGAAGTAATTATTAGCGAGTTGTTGACCGACATGATGACTGCGGCCGGCAGCGGCGAAGGGTGTGGGCTCGGCGGGGCAGGGATGGCCGAGGAGGGAGGGTGGTGAGGCGGCGACCAAGGGGGGGCGAGAGGGAGAGGAGGTGTGGAGGGAGAGGTGCAGAGGCTAGCAAGGAGATGCGAGAGGGCTCTTTGAGAAGGGGTTGACGTCTCGGGCGGCGGGGAGGCGCGCCTCCGCAGGAAGCGCAGCCGGCCGAGATCTCCTCCATCGCGATGGCGTAGGCGAGGCAGTCCATCCCCGTCCCACCCTGCTCCTCGGGCACCATCACACCCATCAGACCGAGATCGGCCATCTGAGCGACGAGCTCCGCCGGATACCTGCGACGGAGGCCGCGCACGAGGCACGCGGTCGGCGCGCGCCACGAAGCGCGCGCGCGGCGGGCCAGCTCCGACTCTGCGCGCGCGCCTGTGTGTCTGGTCCAGCTCTCCCGCGACCGGCTTGACCTGCGCCTCGACAAAGTCACGGCACGTCTGCCGCAGCATGTCGTGGACCGACTCCTCCACATCGTCGCTGGCTGGCTGCGTCGAGAGCGCGCGCCTCGCAAGGCTCGCTGCTGCCCGGGGAAGGCGCGAGGCTGTTCGTCTGGGGAGCTGGGCGAGCTTCATCAAGGCAAGGGAACGAGAAGTTGGCCGCGACGGAAAAAGAATTTGTGCTACGGACAACGAAGGCGCTCTCAAAAAAGAATTTAAAGCAATTGCTCTCACAGCACACAGGCTCGAGAGAGACTGCGAAGAGAGATAGGAAGAGGCGGACTCCCTAGGGTGGGCGACGGCTAGCGCACCACACACCTCTCCTTAAAATCCCTGTGTGGTGGCGGCGTGCCGTCCTCCCATCCCTCCCTTGGGTTGTCTGTTTTCTTTCTTTCTTTACACAGGCTCGATGACTCCGAGGAGGACGAACCAGTGGAAATCCAGTTGTCAGATGTCACGATGCATCCGAAGGGGACCCCAGCGCCGGCATCATCCGTAGAGGCAGGCCGTGCTGGCGGGCGCGCAAGATGCGTATCAACTGGGTCAACTCCCCTGAGCGTGCCAATTGGTCAACGACGCCGTCAAGAACAAGCAAACGGCAAACGGCTTCTTACGCTGGCCCCAGTCAGTGGGGCTGTGGGTGCCCGCGCCGCCTAGCTCCGCGGACGGGCCCCTCCACCCTTCATGTACGGATCATGTAGGCTCGTGGGATCGCTTGTCATGTGAGAGAGTCCTTTGTTTTTGGTGGTCTTCCGCTTTCTCTTAACAACGTCCGGACCCTTTTTTTCCGCGACGACCTCGCTACCTCCAGTATCGTAGTCTTTGTTAGTATCGAGGTCTCGCGAGTTTTGGGGGTTCTCGGCGCCGCGACAGCGCTGCGAGCAGCGCGATGCCACGGCGCTCGGCCTGCTGAGAGAAGACCTTCCCGGACGGCAGTGACAAGTTACCCGACATCAATCGTCGACGGCAACCTCGAGAACTGCGCCTCCAAAGTCGCCCAGATTCGCCTCTCGCGGCGCGCTGAGTTAGTATCGCCGGTGCGCCAGCAGGCTCTGCTCCACAGCAGGGCATGCCGGACTGGCTCCTGCTAGCCGTGCGTCCTGGTGGCATCCATAGCCAGCTCAGGTAGCCTCAGGAGGTCGCCTCGCGCACGACGCGGCGTCGCACAGCACCGCTCAGCGTTACTACCGAGTTAGTATCGTCGACCCACAGAGACTGCTCTTCTGTAGGTGGAGCCGACAAACGCCGGCCGGGTCGGCCCCGCCGCCCCCATCGCCGCCGCCGGGGCGGCGGCGGCCTCGGCGGACCATCCGGCGCGCCGCGCGCCCGTCGGGGAGGCGTTCACCACCCCTGGCTCCTCACCCCGCCACGCCTTCGTGCGGACGCCGTGGCACCCACCTCAGGCGCCGCTCGGACTCGGAGGACGGCCGCCCAAGTGCTTGGCTCGTGCCAAGCCGACCGGCAGGCGATTCCCACTCACTGCTAGGCTAATCTCGGGCTGTCCTGCGGCGGTGTGGTGCCGTGAGGGGCGCCGCCCCCAAAACTACGACTATTAGTACCGTGCGGGAGCAGTGCATTAATTCTGTGAAAAATCCAAATCTGCTCCGTGGAACTTATTGGGCTAGGATCATACGTCCGGGAGGCCCCCCATGCGTGCCGTAACGATCGACAGCGATCTGGCTACTCTGTTCACGTTCACACCTCGTAAACCCCCCATAACCCCGATACTGGAGGTAGACCGGCGGCCAGCCTGTGTCGAACCGTGCCGATGCATCACCTGCCTCTCTTTCTCCTCATCTCGTGCAGCGGCTCGGTCGCGCTGCAGCTCTCGGCGCCCCGCGCACCCGCGCCGATGGCAGTCCGGGCGCCAGCGCCGGCGGCTTTCTTTGGTTTTGGCAAGAAAGAGTCACGGCCGACAGAGCAGCGGTCGACGAAAGGAACCTTCCTGGAGCAGTTCGATCCCCAATACTCGCCTGATGAGCGAAAGGCGCGGCTGGAGACGGGCACCAACTGGGTCCCGCGCACGTCGACCGTCAAGGGAGAAGGGTACCAGTTCTTCCAGGGTCCAACGCCAAAGACGGGCGATCAGGGGCTCGCCAGCTTTTTTGACTTTGAGGGCGCGAGCGGTCTCTCCGGCGTCGAGGCGGCCTTCGCTGGTGTCGCTGCCGCGGGCACCCTCGGCCTCGCCATTTTCCTCGTCGCGAGCTAAACTGCAGCGAAAATGCATCTGTCGCGAGCGCCTTGGGCAGGGGCAGGCCGCGCCCATCAGGGAGCACAGCTCCTCCTCTGGCGACTTGCACACACACGCCAGAGTGCGATTGCCGAGACTGTCCCGATTGACACTGCGCGGCGGGATCTCTCTAGCGTCCACTCAAATAAGTGAGATAAAAATCGAACCGGTTCACGATCCTGCACAAAGATCGCAAGGGCTCGAAAGGGCGGCGACCTGTTCTTTTTTACCCACCTCACAGTAGAGAGGTGTCCGTTTTTATTTATTTATTTATTGGCGCGGGTGAAAAGTAAATTCGTCGCTTTCTGCGCGATAGGCCAGCCCAGATTCTGAGCAGCAGCCCGCCTGGTCATGGGCCACTTGCCTACGTGCGTCCAGCTTCCACTATAGGACGAACGTCGAAGTTTGCTCTCCGACGCCGTGCCGAGCGAAACCTTTTCCTTCGAAGCCCGGCGACGTAGCCGGGCGAGCGGAATAGGGCAGCCCTAGAGAGCACATTGAGGCCGTTCAATAGAGCCCGTGGTATAGTCGAGAGTCGATCGCCGGCCGGCGCAGTGCTGCTCTGACCGCTCCGCCGGGCCGCCTCCGGGCCGCCGCCGCGGAGACGTGCACATAGGCAAGTTGGTATTTTCATATATGAACTTCAAAATACCATCGGCTAATCTAATTCTACTCATCACAACTCGCCAGAAACACCCACACACTATGGGGTCATTGTGTAGCCCTGCTTAGAAGGAAAAGGTTTACTGCAAGGTCCGTATGGCTCACCGTGTAGTCGGCCCCTTGCTCGAGAGGTCGAGGAACTCGACCGGGTCGGTGCCGCGCAGCTTCGGCAGGTCGAGCGCGCGCTTTGGGCGACGAAAGTCTCGTTTTTCTGCCACGGGGCCCCGGGCAGAGCCGTCGAGAATCAGCTTGGTCAGCACCCTGCTGAAAAATAAAAGAAGAAAACACGCATCGTGGTACAGAAGCCGTACTGAATGCGCTACCACGTAGAGTACAAGACTGTCCGGTTTCATGCACCTCCCTGCGCCGACTTCAGAGCCCACTCACATCTCGAGCTTGAACCCTTCCCGCCCGCTCACCGCATCTCGAATCACTCCCTTCCCCTCGTCGCCCAAACTGTTGTAGCGGAGGTCGATGTTTTTCAGCACCCCGTTGACCTCCAAAGCGGAGGCCAGCGCGGTGGCACCCTCGTCGCCGATCTCGTTCCCGCCGAGGTCCAACTCGGTCAATACCCCGTTGGCCGCGAGAGCGCCGCCGATCGCCTTCGCGCCCTCGACGCCGATGTTGTTGTGACCGAGCCAGAGGGTGTTCAGTACCCCGTTGACGCGAAGGGCGTCGGCGATCGCGGCGGCGCCTCCCGGGCCGATATTGTTGCTGCCCACGTCCAAGGAGGTCAGCACCGCGTTGCCCTCGAGCGCCTTGCCGAGGACGGCGGCGCCCTCGTCGCCGATGCTGTTGTAGAATAGGTTCAGGTTGGTCAGCACCCCGTTGACGCGAAGAGCGGAGGCCAGCGCAGCGGCGCCCTCGTCGCCGATGTTGTTGCTCATGAGCACGAGGTTGGTCAGCACCTCGTTGCGCTCGAGCCCGCCTGTGATCGTTGCAGCGCCTCGGCCGCCGATTTCGGCTGCCGCATCCCGCCACTTCTCGTCCGTCCTTTCCACGGCGTTTGCCACCAGCGGGGCGGCAAGGTCCTTGAAGCGGCTGCTGCATCGTTTGAGGGCGACCGCGGAAGCGAGGTCAGACTCGGCCAGCTGCTTCGCGATCGCTCTCCACATATCGTCAGGGAGGTCCACGAGCATCAACATATCGTCGTTGAGATCGTCGTTGAGATCCACGAGCATCGTAGCCGCGCTCCCCGACCTGTCCCTGACGGGCGGCGCACCTCCTTAAGTGACCTGCAGTTTTTTTATTTTTGGAGCCCCGGTTTCACTAGGCCCGCCCTCGGCCATCCCCGCGGTGGCAGAATGCCTTGGCGCGGCGCTCCGCCTTCTGCCTCTCCAGTCCCGCCCGCCCCCCAAAAAAATTTCCCCCGCCGCGCCACCAGCCATTTCCAATGCGCTCCGCCCCGCCATCACGCGCTCTCGACCGGGACTTCAGCCTCAAGTACGCGCTGCGGCAGGAGGAGGTCGATGTCACCGACTTCTCCGCGTACCTCGTCCGGGAGGAGCCGCGCGAGGGCGGCTCCTACTCGGCTGGCGCCGGCGTGCTTCTGCTGCCTGACGCGGCTGGCTGGAAGCACGCGCGCACACGACGGCTCGCTGACCGTCTCGCCGTCTTCTGCTCGTGCCTCGTCCTCGTTCCTGATCTTCACCGCGGCGCAGCCGGCTGGGAGGGCCCCGCGGCGGGCACTGCCTTCGACGCGTGGCAGAGCGGGCTTCCACCCGCCCGCCTCGCGTCCGACGCTCGTGAGTGCGCCGTGCACATGCGCGCCGACCTGCGTGTGGAGCGAATGGGGCTGGTCGGGCTCGGGCTCGGCGGGCGGTACGCTCTCGCCGAGATCTCGCGCGACGCCGCACTCCTCGCCTCGGCCGCCGTCGCCATCTGCCCACCCGCCGTCGGCATGGATGGGCCGCTGGCGCCAAAGGTGCCGCTGCTCTGCGTCTTTGGCGGCGGTGGCAGCGCCGCCGCCCGCGTAGCACGCGAGCAGCTCGAGGCGGCGGGCGGGGCGGCGGCACGAACGGGTGCAGTCACTGTGTCTGCGCTCCAGCCGCCGCCGCCGCCGCCGTCGGCCGCGCCTCAGACTCCGCGGCGGCCAAGCGAGGCTTCGCTCGGCAGGAGGCGCGTGGCCGAGTTGCGCGAGTCGCTCGAGAAGCGCTCGCTGCCCACCGAGGGGCGCAAGGCGGAGCGGGTCGCGCGAGCTGCTGCCCGCGCAGACTCTCTCGGAGCCGTGGTAGGCACTCTTGTAGGCGGAGCTGGTCGCGAGGCTGCGCGCGGCCCTCCTCACTGAGGCGGAGGAGGCGGAGGCGGCTGCGGAGGCGGAGGCGGAGGCGGAGGCGGAGGCGGCGATTGCGGAGGACGAGGCGGGCATGGCGCGAGGCGGAGGCGGCGGCGGCGGAGTGGAAGGGTCGGAAGGGGCGTGCGATCATCTGGTGGTTGAGCTGTCTGGCGCCGAGCACCTCGCCTCCTCGTCGGCCCTGCTCGACTCGGAGGGTGACGCGGCGGCGGAGTCGGACGAGTTGCAGGCGGGCGCCGACGACGCGTTGCTGATGGTCGAGGGCTGGCTCAACGCCCATCTGCACCGCGCCAAGGGCGCCGCCAGCGGCGAGCCGCCGAGGCCGCCGCCGCGAGACGCCACGGAGGCGGGCGTGCGAGCGCCGCGCCGGTCGGACGAGCTCAGGCGCGGAGCTGGAGCCGACAGCTAGAGCGGTGGGGTCCAGCCGCTCTCAACCAGCCCAAAATCAGAGCCCAGACGGGGGGCGGTGTCAGCAGGTCAGCACCCGCCCCAAACGAGCTGGTACGTATATGATAGTCGGAAGGCCAGTACTGCGATAAATATGTTATAATAGTACACTTTTGCACCCACGACAAGGTGTATCTCGAGAGCTTAACACACGCGCCGTCCCGCGTCCGCGGACCCAGCCGCGCACAAACGGTCGAAAAGCGAGTCCGCATACTGCAAGGTCAAAATTCGACTCAAACCATACACCCATGCTGATAACGGTGTCGGCCTTGCATGCGCCTCCTCGCCGACCGGCCCCGCTCGTGCCTAGACCCTTGGCTGCTGCTGCTCTCTTCTCAGCCACCGGCACGCGTCGTCGAAGCCTTGCGCCAGCACGTCTTGCAGCCAGCCGCCGTCTCGAGGTGGCCAGAGCGTGGCTCGAACCTACAACCAATTCGCATCCGCACTCGCCTCTCCGGAGAGCTGGCCGCTGGTCGGCTCCTCCCTTGCGTGGGAGCGAGCACCGCGCTCGCGTTGGCCCGCGTCACGTCGATGCGCACCTTCGGAGAGGGAAGGAAGAGAGGGGGAGTGGATTCGTCGCTGCCAGGGGCGCAAAGGCCTAGCGCAACCCTCGCATCTCCACATCCCGGACAGGGGTCGGGAGCCCCGCGGCATTCAGAGTGCAGTGCAGAGAGCTCGCCGCGCGCCTTGGACGGGAGGAGGACACGGCGCGGAGGTCGACCGCGCACCTCCGGGCAGATGTCGAGCTCGCCTGAGGAGCCATCGGCCAAGGCCCTCCTCCGCCATCCGCCAGTCGCCTCCGGGCAGAGGCCGGGCTCTCGCCGAAGGGCGACACGCGGGCAAGCGGCGCTCCTCTCGGCTCTCGGGCAGTCTCGGCGACAGCTCACCACTGAAAGGCGAGACGCGGACGGTTCTGTCTGCTGTGGGGTGGAGCGGGAAGTTGGTCTTGAAGCCGCCGTCGATGAGCGCGCCGCCGACGAGGCGACGAAGAGGCTGCGCCTTCGCCGCGGCCGCCCGCACCCCTACGGGGGGCGGCTTCCGAGCGCGGGTGAGGGGAGGGGAGGCTGCGCGCTTGCTGGTGCGGGCCGGGCGCCTTGGAGCGGCCCTCGTAGAGGAGGCGCGGCTGCGGGAGGAGGAGTCGGGGAAGAGAGGCCGGCGGTGGAGGAGAGGGCGGAGGAGGAGCCGAAGGAGGAGAGGCCGGAGGAGCCGCACGGGCTGCGGCGGGAGGTGAGGCCGGGGATGTAGGACGAGACGAGCACCTGCAGCATGGCTCGCTGTGAGCTGGCCGTCGGTGAGGGCGGTGAGAGGGTAAGACCAACGCGAGGAGGGGGCGGGGAGGGGTGGGCAGCAGGGGTATGGGGCCGCGGCCCTCACCGACTCGATCAGCGACTCGCGCGTCTCCCAGTGGGAGAGGGCGACTGGAGACCTACACTCCCCAACCCTCCCTTGTGACGAAGACGCACCCCACAGCGCGCCCCGGTGTGCGGACGGCGCGAGACCAGGGCCGGCGCGAAATATCGGTGAGGAAGACGACGGCTCGGCCGTTGCAGCGCTCGTGTGCGTCCTGCGCAAGCGTCCGAGAAGGTCTAGAGGCAGGTCCCCACCCCGGCGCTGGCGTGTCTGTCCCCGATCCTTCTCTCGGGCGCCGTCGTCGAGCTATCGCCGGTATTTCTGCGCCACTGGGGAGACTTGGGCGTGTCCGTGTGAGAGATCCGCTAGGATCTCCAGTCTTGATCTACTATCTCTACTCCAACGATCTACTGGCGTCGGGTCTTTGGCGGACCTCTGGCAGCAGATGCTCCAGCTCGGGCCGCACCTGCAGGGAAGGGCGCGGCAAGGCTCACATTCACATCCTCTGGCAGCAGATCACCGGGTCAGGGCACGCGCCAGCCGGAGGATGTCGACCTTTGGGCGGCCCAACGGGCCGGCGCCGGCGGCGACGACGCTGTCGACGATCCGGGAGAGCGCGCCAGTTGCATCGTCGAGGTGAACCTCGGCGGAGAGCACCGCGGCGACCAGCGCGCCCGCCGATGCTCCCACCTACAGCGGAAGACCCGAGCACCATCTCGGCCGGCGATTTTTGCTGCGCCGGATCTTGAGACAGCTCACACCAGCGGCGCAGTCCTGGCATCGAGCAGCTCGGCACCGCGCAGGCCCTGATAAACGCCGAGGTGATAGGCGGCGGCGATCAGGCCGCCGCCCGAGAACGAGAGCGCTACCGCGCGGCTGGCACTACTAGGCGCGGCTAGTCCCATCGGCCGACAATGTACCCAAACTCCGGGCGAGATGCGCTGAGGCTTGCGCAGCACCGCCGCCACCATCGATTGCCAAGCAGGCTCCAAGGGTTGTGAAGTGTGGGGCACCCCCTGCGACCCAAGAGCCCTACTTCGGAAAGACCAGGATCGCTCTACTGGCAAACTTCTGGCTGACACGCGCGCCCGGTCGAGCCTTCGGCGGGCGCGCTGCGGTCGCAGCCTACCCAAGTCATATGCCACGGCGTGCGATCTAGATTCAGCACACGCGCCTCTGCTTGCTCGCAACCACTCATCCAATGAACTGTCGTCACCCATGAGTGCGAGTTAGGGCTAGCGGCTGGCCAATAGCCTGTGAGCAGGGCGTCCATAGACACCTCACAAGACCCCACACACGGTCTCGTCCGTGCCTTGCGGCCGGCGACGAGATTGCTAGAGGCGGAGCAAGCCTGCTCTAGTCTCACATTCGCCCCTGTCGCCTGTCTGTGTTGTTGTGCTGTTGTTTGTCTCTTGGCACCTTGGAGTGCTGGGGGGGGCGACAGGGGGGACGTGGCCTGAGTGATGTGTACGCCCACTCAGGATGTGTGGCAGCCCGCTGGCTGTGTGTCTTGTGAGCCTGTTTGTGTCTGTGTGTCGCTCGTGCGTGTCGTCATCATCTGTCTAGCGTCCACCCATACCGCGTCGGTGTCCAGTCCGAGCCTGACTGTTCTTCACCTTCCTACATACATACATACAGCCCTAGGTAGGTGCGGATCGGCAAGGCGCAACGCGTCGATCTATGCTTTTTACCTTCTATCATCCTTGGGTTGTCAGATCTAAGAACTTGAACCACACCACGGTCCACGCAGACAGGGGCACACACACACAGCAAGCACGCACGGATACAGTCTGTTGCGGGCGGGCATTAAGAAAACGTACCATGAAGAAACCCTACCACCTACCAAGCGATTTCCGCAAAAATCTAAGAAACCACGGTGCCGCCGCAGGCGCGGCCCCAAGAAAGGGCTCACACACGAACGAGTGTCAGACCGAGTGTGAACAGGAGCCCCGCTCAAATTTTCTCTTCGTTCGCCTGCGGCGCGCGCACTTGTCATTTTGCCCAAGTCTGCGGTGTTCTGGGCGGTGTGGATGGAGGTGTGTGCGTCTTTCTGTCATCCCAAGTGGGTGGCAGTACTATAGGCAGACTGCGGACTGGAGCATCGGTCCAGCGCTTCCTTATTGTCATTTTACCTACAAATTCCTAGATCCCGGCTGACCTGGGGTGCCGGCCGAAGCTAAGAAACCACGGCGTGGGGTGGGTGGGGTGGGTGGAAAGGCTTAGAAACGGCGGCGTGCCGCGAGATCCTGTTTTCTTATAATAAATGCCCGCAACAGACTGTAGCTAGCCGAACGCTTTCCTTGTTCGAAACGCCATGTGCAAAGCTCGCTTCCAAGCTCTCACACCGCGCGTAGTTTAGGGGCCTAGAGAACCCCCCCCCCCCCTCCCTTTTCTCCCAGTAAGCTAAAAGTACAGTACACTTAAGAGAGAGAGAGAGAGACGTGCACACTCATGGGTACACTGAAAAAGCGCGACTGTTGGTGAACCTTCTTTTCTGGACGGCTAGGATTGAGAGCAGCCTCGCTCTCAATCCTAGAAGTCGAAGGATTGTGAGCAGCACTCCTCGCAATCGTAGCATCTCTGTGCGATTGCTAGCACCTACGCTCGCAATCCTACATCTTCTTTCTAGGACTAAGAGCAGCTCCGCTCCCAACGTGACTGGTGACGCCTACGACTTCTCCGCTGCGAATCTCATCATGAGCTGCGAGGGCGCCGCGATCCGAACCGCCCGCCGCTGCTGGCCGACGGACGAGGGGTCGCCCGCCACGCCACTCCGGCCACGAGCCGGCCTCGGCTCGCCACCTCACCAATCGGCGCCGGAACAAGCGGCTCAGGCCGATGTAGCCTCGGCGCCGGCAGTGGCAGCGTTGACGCCGGCGAGGGATGCGCCCGAGGCTGTTTCGGCTATCGAGCTTCCAACGCGGTACCCAAAGATGGGGGATACGCTGTCGCGGATCTCATTCTACTTCATCGTGCTCCTCGGCGGCCACCTCCACTCAGAGGCCCTCTACAGCGCCGGCAAAGTCCTCGTCCTCGGCCTCCTCGCTTGGCACTACAATCTCGGCCTGATCGAAATGATGGCCTCGAGCGGAGCGCTTGACGGCAACGGCCCGCCGACCCAGCCGTCGTCCTTCCGCCTTCCGCCTTCGAGCGGAGCGCGAAAGGCGGGAGTGGGCATGTTCTGCTTTTTGGCAGGGTGGCGGGCAGCCCGTCCAAAGGCGATGCCTCCGTTGTCGCCGCGGCTCTCTGCGGCATCGGTGTCTCCTCTTGTCGCTGCAGAGCTGCCACCCGCACCGCCTCCGACTAAGCCACTTCCCGGACTGGCGCAGGCGTCGCTGCTGTGCGCACAGGCGCAGGGGGCGGCCACCGAAGGGCGGGAGCAGCCGGCAGCGGCATTGGTGAGGGCGCCGTCATCGCTGCTCGGCGATGACAAGTGTAAGGACGACTAGGTTGGGGAGGCCCCAAAGGCCGTCATCGCTGCGCGGCCGTCTAATGCTTGGTCCTCACAGAGGAAAGAGGTGCAGCGGCGGGCGCGCACACTGTCACGCGCGGGCGCCGAGGCAAGCCACTCACTCCTCGTCAAGGGCTTGCATAGCCGCTCTATTGGTCTCCGCGGGGCGCTGTCTCCTGTCCTCCGACAATTCCCGATCACTGATGGCTGCGCGCTATGTATACTCGTTTGTACCACAATCGCTCACGCGCGAGGTGTTGGGGAGAGAGGCACGAAGACGGGGCGGCGACCTCGGTCCTCGCAACCGACCCTTCGCGAAGTGTTTTTTACCCGAGCCAGACCCATATGTGCCTAGAGCGCATGTGCGGTTTGTGTGCGGCGCAACGCGTGCGCCACCTCCTGAGCCTCACGCTCGAATGCGCTCGACCCGACGGTGCGCCACTCCTGCATTCTAGGGTCACGTTGCGAAAATGCGCGACCCATCCGACATCCCCCCCGGCTTGCGTGCGAGAACCAGTCGAGGCCGTGGCGCATGGGGGGGGTCTTCTTGTGATCCAAGCGAGGTAGGTGGTGATCTGTGATCTGTGAGGGTCCGCCCGCAGGCGCATTTTGTATACCGAGGCGGTGCCCGGTGCCGAGCGCAGGCAGAGCCCACAGGTCGGACCTTAAGACAGCGTTGTAGATCCCTGGGCGAGGGTGATGGCGTCCCCGTCGGGTCAGGGCTGAAGGCGGGGGAGACCAACCCGATCTCTCCGGCGTCCCGGGAGCGTGATAGGTGGTAGCGAGCGAGCCCAGCCGATCCTTGCCTCGCACGCCATGCGCCCAGGGGTGCCGATTCTGCGGCAGATTGACTCTGAGGTCGAGCCCGCGGCGCAGCCGCTTGCGCTGTACCTTGTCTCCGCCTTCGGCTCTCAGCTCTCACGTTCCGTGACACGACACAGTCTCAGTCACGAGAGAACCGAACAGGCAAACAGCACGAGAACACTAGTCCGACTACCGAGAAACCGACTAGGGGACACCGCTCCGAATACTTGCAACTGGGGGCGCGAATATTTTTTACGATGGAATAATTATTTTATTGATATATTGTCTCTCTGTCTGTCTCTCTCGCTCTCTCCGTCCGTCCCCTCGCTCTCGCGCGGTCTCGGCCGACACACACATTTCACATATAGGGTGTCAAAGTGAATGAGCCCCCACGCGTGTCGCGCCGGCGTTCTCCGCTCGGGATCAGCCGCGCACCCACACCGGTAGAATCGCGATATACAATCTCTTCCGAACCGATCATCAATCGGCGCCCCCCACGAGCCGCTGCAACACGCGCGCGACGGAACCCCTTAGACTCTCCTCGCCTGCTCGTTGGGGAGCGGGGCTGCGGCCGAGAGGCGCCCCTCGTCCAGCGCGCCTGGCGCCGGCACGCTTCGTCGAGCGAGGTTGGGCGGCGGGACCATCCTCGCCGCCCGTGTCGGCCGGGCTGCCGAAGAGCACGGCTCCGGCGACGACGGCGCCGACCACGGCCAACTGCGGCGCGGAGAGCGACGGCGCGGCGGCGGCCGGCCCCGAGCCAAGAGCGCCGACATCGCTGAGCAGCACGCGCGTGACAAGCACGAGGAAGAGCGCGGCGGTGGCCGCGTCGATGGTCGCGCGGGTGCCCTCGTCGAGCTTGCGGCCGCGCCTCGCCTCAACGGCGAGGAGGAGGAGCTGGAAGCCGTCGAGGCCTGGGAGGGGCAGCGCGTTGAAGACGGCAAGGTTGACCTACAGGGGCACTTCCTATTCCCAGTCACCCCCCGAGACGGCGAGGGTGGCCTACAGGGAGGCTCCGAGGTCCCGAGAAGGGCCGAGATAGAGACTCAATCTCGGGCGCAGTCTCGGGACATCTGACCGAGAGCAGCGCGGCAAACTCGGGGAGCAGCGCCGGCTCCCTCTCTGCGATCTTGCCCGCGGTGGAGGAGATCGCGAGCGGGCCTTGCAGCCCGCCGCCGCCGCCGCCGCCGAGCGCGCCGCGGAGGGCTGGCAGGAGCGAGGAGCCGATCGCCTGCACGTTGCGGGCGAGGAGCTCGGACGCGCGGCCCGCCGCCTGGCAATCAGAAGAGCGCAGTCCCTCGGGGGGCAGTTCGCGGGGACCTTCTGAGGGGCGCGGCAGCTGGTGCCTGGCCGGGCGGGAGCGGCACGCGAGGAGAGCGGGCCGGCTCGGGCGGCGTCGAGAGCACGACCCCGATCGTGCGCGCGGTGGCAGGCGGCGGCGCGATGGCAAGGGTGAGCGTGCGGCCGGACCTAGAGAGCTCCGACAGTGCTTCAAGAAAGAAAGCTTGGGATGGCGAGAGGCGAGTGCGTCGCCGCACCGCTCTACCGTGGCCTTCAGCGGGCGGCTGCGGCTCACTGCGGTCCGGATCGATCCGAGCGACGAGCCGAGCGGGTCGGCGCTCTCTGCGATCCGGCGCTGGTTGAGTGCCACCAGCCTGTCGCCTGGCCGCAGCCCGGCCGCGTCTGCAGAGGGGAGGGCCGACGGAAGACGAGGCGGTGAGAGGCTGTGCAGAGGGCAGAGGGGAGCCGAGGGCAGAGGGGAGGGCGGGAGAGGGCAGCGGAGAGGGCAGCAGAGAGAGCTGGAGGCGGAGAGGTGGCGGAGAGGTGGCGGAGAGGTGGCGGAGAGGTGGCGGAGTGGGCACCTGCGGCTCCGCCGGCGACCACGCGCGAGACGGTGACGGGCGGACTTGGAGGCACGCCGAGCGAGACTGCGGAGCCGAAGAGGGCAGACCACGCGAGCAGGAGGTTCGCGATCACGCCGGCACTCACCACCGCTGCTTGCTGAGGAAACGGCCGGTTCTCGAACAACGCGGGGTCAGAAGCATCGAAGGCGCCAGGCGGCGGCGCAGGAGGAGAGGGATTTTGCCGCCACCAGCGCCAGCCGCGGCCCTCGTCCTCCGCCGCGCTCTGCACTGCCGCAGCCGCTGCGGCCTCTCCGGCTCTGGGAAAGGCGACATAGCCGCCGAGCGGAAGTGCGCGGAGCACGTAGCGGACTCCTCCCTCTCTGGGCCTTAGGGCGAATATACGAGGTCCGAAGCCGATCGAGAACTCCTCCACCCGCATCTTTTGGACGGCCGCAGCCGAGAAGTGTCCAGCCTCGTGCACGAGCACGACCGAGCTCAGCACAGCAAGGCCGATTGCGGTGCTCGCGCCCGACGCGGTGGGCTGTGGCGCCCGCGCGGCGTGGACGCAGGGCGGGGTGGGGAGGAGGACGTGCATATACATGTGTGTACATGCGCAAGTTCGAGCAGGGTCGACCAGCGCGCGATCCCGGGGTCTCTCATCAGCTGTGAGCGCTGTCAGAGCGGTGTTTCGACTGGGCCCGTGTTTTCTTTTTCTTTCTTCGACTCGACCGACCTACCTCGATCGCAACATAGCAGAAAGGAACCCGAAAACAAAGTAAAATCGCTGGTGCTGCGGCAGGATTGGGTGAATCTGCGGTGTGTTTTTGTGTGAATCTGCGGCAGGCCCACTGGGGAGAGAGAGTTTTTGTCCCACTGGTGATGCGGCGGGACTCGCTACATACTCGAGTACATGCATCACGTCCACCTGCAGAGCGGCGCGCCCACCCCGCCCCTCCCTCCGACTCGCGCCGCGCCGCCCTCACCGCCCGCCCCCGCCCGGGGTGTGCAGGCGTGCCGCAGCGCCCCCTCGCCATCGTGGCATCGAGACCTCGCTCGCCGAGATTGTGCTCATGTGGCTGTGCATGGCCTTCCCGGGCGCGGGCGCGCCCGGGGACCAGCAGATGGAGACGGTGGCGCCGCCTCGGCCGTGGCACAACGGCTCGCCCGACAAGGCCAAGGCGAAGAAGCTCGCGCAAAAGGAGAGCACAAAGGAGAGCGCGAAAGAGGAGTCCGCCCTGGTCGTGGCCGCCGGCACGCAACACACACACACACACACACACACACACACACACACACGCGCGCGCGCGCGCGCGCGCGCTGGTGGTCGTCGAGGCGCGCAAAGTTCTCCGCGCGCGCGTTATAGAGACGAGTTGGTTGGCCGTTGGCGCGGACGTCTGTTTTGTTTCTTTTTTACTCGTCCTCGTGAGTGAGTGCGGGGACCAGCAGTGAGGAGATGACGGCACAGCCACGGGTAACACAGCGCAGGCAAAACGCCGCGGGGCCACACTCTTGTGCGCCCGCGTTGTGGCTTTATTTGTCTTCTCGTGGCGGGGCCGCGACCGCGCGACCCGGCGCCGGCCTCGACCAGCGGTACGTGCTACGTCAGTAGGCAGTAGCGCTCCGTCTCGGACCCGAGCTGGCGCTACCAGCACTTTGCGGCCAGACCAGTGTGAGCGAAAGCGTCTCCAGTCAGAAGTAGTGAATAATCGATGGTATCGACACACAGACAAAACGCGACTGGCTCTACACCTGAAAGGCAGCGATGTGGCGACCGGTGCCTACCGATTATCTGTCGCCCGGTTGTCGGTGCGACGGTTCGAGGTGTGGCGGTTGGATGTGTACCGAAAGGAGAAGCCCGCTCGCTTCTTCTGTGCTTGCGGCGGAGGCCCCTCGACGTACTTGGTGCCGTAGGAGGGATCGTCGGGGTTGACATAGGCGAGGTGGTGCTCCTTGCCATCCACAATGATACTCTTGCCGATCTCGGGCTTGCTTGAGCCGCACCCCATCGTGAGGCTCGTCAGACAGGCGTCTTTAGTGCACAAGCTGCGAGCCGCCGGTCGAGCCTCGGCCAAAGATGTCGGCATGAAGATCTCGGCGGTCCAACTGTGTCACGCACACATCTAATCTCTCCCGGGTGGTGCTTTATTGCCGTCACCCAGGCATTCGAGGTAGTTTATTGCCGTCACCCAGGCAGCATGGAAGGTAGTTTATTGCCGTCACCCAGGCAGTGTGGTTGTTTTTTGCCTTCACCCAGGCAACAAGCTACAAGGGCACAACAAACAACAGACGACAGGAAGTAGCTACTGCGAACGACAGCTGGCGACAGCGAAAAAGGTCAGCTGGCGCGACAGGTCACAGCTGGCGTCAGCTGGCGACAGACAGCTGGCGACAGACAGCTGGCGACAGCTGGCGACAGCTGGCGACAGGTCAGCTGGTGACAGCTGGTAGCGAGTCAGAAACAAAAGTCAGATAAAGAAGTCCCGGCCCTAAAGCCGTCACCTTTTTTCTCATCCACCCCCAAAGTGTCTTGGCCTGTCCAAGGGTTTCCGGCAACCCAGAGGGAAACCAGAGGGTCCCCAGCACTTTGCGTTTCCGGAAGTTTCCAGGGAAACCAGAGGGTGTTTGGTGCTCCATTCTGTTTCTCTCGAGTTTCCCTCGGGAAACTCGCGAGTTTCCCTGTTCCCTGCGAGTCTGAGAGCTGTTCTGGGGCGAAATCTGAGGCAAAATTTAGGAAATCGGCACGATACCCAGGCATTTTCCAGGTATACCCGGGGTTTGTCAGGCATACCCGCAAAATACCCGGTATTTTGCCGACCGATTTTGCTGATTTTGGCCCCAAAACAGCCTCAGACTCGGCTCAGAGCCCGGAAAAATGGATGGTTTCCCCGTGGAGTTTCCCCAGGAAACTAGAGGGGGCTGTAGGGAAACTAGCAGGAAACACGGAAAGGAAACCAGGAAGGAGCGAGGAGGGTGCGAGGAAACCCTTGGAAAGCCAACCAAGCGCAATCAATGCCGTGCACGCCACCGATCGCGCGCTCGACGGCTTGCTCGAGCACGCCGCCGAGACCAAGGCTGCGCTCAGGCCTCCAGCGAGGCATCTTTGGCGGGTCTCTGCCGCGCCGCAGATCAACGGAAAAAAAGTAAAATCTCGTGGGGCACGGACCACCATTCCTCTCGCTCCGCACAAGCATGGGTCGCGACCGCCCAGCGCCGGCCCGCAAGGGTCAGCGCCACGGCGCCCTCCGCGGCGTCGACAAGGGGCACCTGAAGCGTCAGGCGCACGGCCGCCGCATTGCCAGCGCGGCGTCGCTCGCATCAGACCGCCTCGGCGACTGGCGGCACGCCGTGGTGGAGCAGCAGACGCAGCTGGACACGCGGCTGGCTGAGCTGGTGCGGGAAGTCTTGGCGGATGCGCCGGAGCAGGCACTGCCGCTTGCGGCCGCCGGGCAGGCCCTGCAGGAGCGCGTGCGTGCGGCAGGGCTGCGTGGCGACGACGGTGCGATCGTCGGCACCTCGCGATACATCAAATCGCGGTGGGGCGGCTGGGAGGGCTTTGTGCGCTCGGCGGCGGGCGATCTGAAGCTCTCTGGCGAGACGCTCCGGCTAGCAAGCGGTCCTCCGCCCTTGCCGCCGGTTGAGGAGGCGCCAGCGCGCCGCCACGGAGCGCACGGAGTCGGTCTCGAGCCCTCAGCACTCTCAGCGCTTGGGCTGAGCTGTGACGTGCGCGACGAAGACGAGGATTTGTGAGTCGAGATTAGAGTACCTTGTCTCTTCGGTGTAGTCTACTGTGCTCTGTGAACTGTGCGGCGGCGGGGACGAACCCGGAATGGCGGAAATTTCTCGGAAAACGCGAAAAAAGACGCACATTCGCACCGACCAGACGAGTGGTGCGAGACGAGAGCAGCGTCTCTCGTCTCTCTCCCCGCCCGCGGGACGGTGCGCCTCGTGCGCGCGTAGTAACGACGTTCGGTCTCAGCTCTCTGTGCGACAGGGAGAGACAGAGAGATGACCTTTTGTAGCTTGTTTGTGCCCTGACGCTAGCCCTTAGCACACCTGAAGCAGCCAACTGATGATGACGTCGGCTGAGCGGTTGCACCGCTGCCAGTCAGCGTCCTTGGACGCACCGCCGCCACAGCTGCACGGGTTGAACGGGTCCAAGCCGCAAGCACACCTCCTCCAAGCAGCGTCCTCCGAGGCTGCGAACGGTGGATACTTGAAGGAGCCGTGCGCAAAGCCCTCGAGGTTGACACGCAGGTGCTCACGCTTCGGCGCCTCCTCGCTGACGGCGCTATACCGAACCGTGGTGCGCGCCTCGGGGGAAGGGCCTGCGATGGCCGCGGCATCGTCGCCGTTGAAGCCGAAGCGCTTCATCTCTGCGTCCTCCCCTGCGTTGAGCAGAAGTGACGGGCCGCCGGGCGTCGGCGTGGCGATGGGCTTCCCGCTCACTTTGTTCTGCCAGCCCGGGCCAGCGATGTAGATGCGCGGGCATTCATTCGGCATGTGGCGGATCGTGTCGGTCCCCGTGCTGTAGCCAATCAGTGCCAGCGGGAGGGCGCTGCCGTACCTATGGGTCGCTGTCCCTCGTGTAAGCTGGGCAGTGCGCAGAACAGCCCCCTCGCGACCGGCGCACCGCTTCCGCAGGGTGTCGATGCAGGCGTTCATCCGAAGGACCCGCTCGGCATGCTGCTCTTCGAGATGGCTATGCCCTTTGGCCAAGACTGCCTGGACGTCGTTGCTATCGTCGTCACTAAACGAAGGCGCAGCGACTGCAAAGCCATGGCCGGCAAGCCGCTCCAGCACGTGCGCGATGGAGATTGGGCCGTCCGAGAGCCCGTGAGCATAGACGACGAGGCCGCGTATCGAGCCGTGAGCGTAGACCGACTTGTCTGTTGCGGAGCTCGGGCTCAGTTGACCAATTTGTATGCTGGTCGGCACCGAGAAGTCGAGCGTCGGGAAACAGCATCGCGGGACGCAGGAAGGCAGGCCGTTCTTTGCAATCTGCGAGACCATCATCTCGACCTTCTTGCTCATACAAATTGAGGTTGAGTATGCAGAGAGGAGCTTCTCCGGTGACCCCTTCAGCGGGATCCACGCGCTTGCAAATGTCAAGCCCTCGATGCCTCTGTGGTTCCCGGCGATGCCCAAAGGGACTTCCACATAGCCAACACGAAAGGTTGCCTGAGGAGCCCGCACAGCTGACGAGCGCGTCTCTGCAAAGCTCGAGCGCATCTCTGCAAAGCTCGAGGACGATGCATTGATGGCGCACCAATTGCCTTTGGGATCTACACAGCAACGGCCGAGGAATGGGCGCTCTTTCACTCGGGGACGTGCGATACTCGTGTGCTCTCGTTGCCCCCGCAGCGGTGCAATGCATCGCTTTCTGCCGAAGATGGCCGAGGAAACGCCACGGTTGCTCCGTCGGCGGCTGCCCCTGCCAGCGAGACGACATCATCGCCCTCTCCCAGGTATGGCTGCTCGGATCGCTATAGAAACTGCTGGCTCAGCCGGTGCTGCGCGGAGTCCACGGACCGATGCTATACTCACTCCACGGGGCTACGCTACGCACAGTGCATGCCGACGGGGTCGTGCCATCACCGCAGCTGGGAGTGTGTGCCGCTCGATGACGATGCGCTACTACCGTCGCCAGCCCCCACCGCTCCGCCGACAGTGACCGTACTCATCGCGCCGCCGTCTCCGACTACGCCCAGTCACACAGCGGTGGCGGGCAACGGTCACCCGCCGTCCAACACCTCTGTGGCTGCCGCCGTTGGAGGCACGTTTGTTGGATCCTCCATCTTCCTTGTTGCCTCGGCACTTTTGCTGCACGTCGCTTGCGGCAAGCGGAAGCAGCGGATTAAACTCTGGACACCCCGCCGCTACGCTCACGTTGACCGGGCCGTTGCCCTCTCCCCTCTTCCACCTTCTCAATGCCGCAAATCTGCTACTGGTAGTCCCAGCAGTGAAGCCTTCGAGGAGCGTCGCGCGTGCCGCGCGGCGGGCTTGCATGACGAGACGAGTGGCAGTGAGATGGGAGATGTGCACCATGTGCAGGGCGCGAGAGTGGTGAGTTTTTGACAATCTACTTTTCTCTTTTGTCTTTCGATTTTGTATACTCTTACATCTCGAGATCACGTACGCGAGAGACAGAAAACTCACATTGTTGGTCTATTGTCCCACTCACGTCTGTTCCGTGGCACCCTCCCGCCTCTCTACGTGCGGGAGGTGAATAACTTGTGGCCGCTCATGTGCAGCTTCAGTCCAGACCACGCCCGAATAGTCATGCCCGATACCCAACGTATGTCGCCAGCAACGTTGCTGGAGGCTCGCCCGCGACTCGCTGCGTTGCGCGCCCCGCAGGAATAGGTTGCCGTAAAGTGAACACCCGCGCCCCTCCCCATCCGCAGGAAAGGCGACAGCTCAAGCCGCGTCCCGCGTCGCGCCGATCGAGACCGAGGGCATCGCCTGCGCGAGCAGCGTGTCGGTGCTCGGCTGCGGCGTGACCGGCGGCAACCGACCGACCGCAGCCCCGGAGAGAAGGATCGACTCGAGCTCCTGCGAGGTGTGCCGCGCCGGCAGCTCGAAGGAGGCGCCCGGCGGGCCGCCCAGAGCGTATGGCCCAGCGGCGTACGGCCCGGCGGCGTAGTACGGCCCGGCGGCGTACGGCCGAGGCCCGGCGGCGGACGGCCCGGCGGACGGCTCGGCGGACGGCCCGGCGGCGTAGTACGGCCCGGCGGCGTACGGCCCGGCGGCGGACGGCCCGGCGGACGGCTCGGCGGACGGCCCGGCGGCGGCGTAGCCGGCGGCGGGCACGGATGAGCACGTCGGGAGCATGGGCCTCGACGCTAGCGGGGCTGGCGGCGGGATGGAGAGGCCCCCGGCCCCCATCCCCGCGGCCCCCATCGACGGCGCGAGGCCCAGCTGCACCGGGTGCTGCACGCCCGGCGCGGGCTTGAGGGGGTGGCCGACGCCGTTGGGCGTCGTGGGCATCGCGAGCGAGAGGTGCAGCTCCGTTAAAAAGGCGTCCAGCTGCGACTCGTCCATCGAGGCGAGCGGCTCCTGCGCGCCCGTCTCGACGGTGAGGTGGCCGGCCGAGCCGCGGTAAGTCGGCCCCTTGGGGGCGGCGCGCGGCGGCTTGGCGCCTGCCTTGGAAGGGGGCGGCGGCCCGGACGCGCCCGACTTGCTGTGGCGGAGCGGCGGGGCCGTCCCGCGCGTCGGGCCGCCGCTCGAGCAGCTGGAGGAGCGCTGCTGCCGGCTCTGCGACGGGCGGCGGTTGTCCTTGGCCGCCTGCGCCTTCTCGTCGAGGACCTGCTGCATCTTCTTGGCGGAGAGGGCGGAGAGCTCCGCCGCCTTTTGGGTGAGGTTGTCGCCCTCGGGCTGGTCGCCCGACGTCAGCGCCGCGCAGATGTGCCCGCGCTTGGGCTGCCCGCACCGGCGGCAGCGGTAGCCGTGCTCGGCGCCGTGCTTTGTGCGCAGGGTCTGCGCCTTCTCCATGCGGTTCCAGCGGTTGCGCACGCCGTTGTCGGTGCGGCCCGGCAGGTGGGCGGCGATCTTGGACCACTTCTTGCCGTGCGTCTCCACCAGCTTGAGGATGAGCAGGTCCTCCTCGACGGTCCACATGGGCACGTCCTTCCTGCCCTCGCGCTCGCTCGGCTCGAGCGAGCCCTCGCCGTCGTCCGAGTACTGTCTCCGCAGTGGCTCGGGCGCGCTGCGCCGCAGGCGGGTGTAGGGGCTGCCGCTGAGGTCGAAGAGCGCCGCATGGCTGCCCGCCGCGCCCTCCGACTCCTCTGGAGACTCCTCGTCGCCGCCCACATCGTCCTTGACCAGGTCGGCAAAGAGCGCGTCCTCCGCCGACGACCAGCGCGTCACCTTCTTGGCTGCGGGCGAGACGCCGGTCGGCGACGTCACGAGAAGGCACCGCTTCCCGTCGTCCCAGTGCACTGGGTCAGGCACATATGGCCTCATCATGGCGCCGCCGCGAGCGTGGGCCGCCGGCGCTTGCTGCTGCATGCCCTGAGAGGCGAGCGCGAAGGCCTCCACCTCGTACGTGCCGATCACCACGTTGTCGGACGGGCCGCCGTCCGCTAACACGATGCCGGTTGCCGACATGGCTGGAAAAAGGTGGACACTCAAGACACACGAAGCAAGCAAGGGTCCTTGCTGCGTGCGTCGTCACCGGAAGAATCGAAGCCAACCTGCAGAGTCCTCCCATCCCTCCCTTGGGTTGTCTGTTTTCTTTCTTTCTAGCACACGGGCAGAAGACGGCATGGAGGGCGCCCGACAGGGTGCGGAAGGTGAAGGCAGCAAGGAAGGCGCCCACTTGCTACGGGGGGGCAGGCAGGGAGAGGACGGACACGGATGGGAGTACCTCTGCGAATGGGAAGGCGAGCAGAGCGACAGCTGGGTGTGGCATGATAAGATGGCGAGCGTAGGGTATGTCGGTGATTTGGCTAACACATGGGAGCGGGAGCTGATGCATGCGCAAGGCGTGAGATGGCAAGCGGCGTCCTTCCGAGAGTGGCTAGAGCACCGCAGAAGGCTAGGTGGTTCGGGGCCGAAGGCCAGCGCAAGCGGACAGAGCACTAGAGACGTGCGATGGAAAAGGTAATGAATGCACCGTCATGGAGCGATGTCCTCGATCGATTCATCGAATACAGCAGGGAGGTAAACGGGGGTGTGCACAACACGGCCCCAACATGACAGAACACACGTTCGAAGAAGGGCGAACCAGGACGGACATCCGAGTGGAGGGGAAGGCCAGGACGCTCTACCTCCGAGGGAAGAAACCGGCGCAAGACAGCGGCACGCACCTGGGTTCGAGAGAGGAAGGGGACAATCGAGTGATAAAAGCTGGAGGGGACCCCGGGCCTCGATACGAACGCGACATGGGAGGAGGAGATACCCGAGCAAAATAAGATCACGGCGGACGCGGTGAAAACGATGATGGAGAGACAGGAGAGGGAGCGACAGGAGGGGAGCCTCGGGGCGGATGAGACGTTGTTCCCAGAGGGGGCGCCCCCCAGTGCCCAGAGGCACATAAACTGGCTTGCAGACTGGCAGAAAGAAGGCTACGAGCTGTTTGTGGGGTACGGACACGGGGCGAGCGCGATCAGAGTAGGGGAGCTACAGGAGAGGACCCCCTAACGCGCTTCTTGCTCCGATACGACGAATTTGAGACGGGGGGGGAGAGCTGACGGGCCGAGACGACGGCAAAGGGACGCGAATTAAGATGGGAAAAGACAGCGAGCCGCTGCGGGCGGAGGAGTCTATTGAAGAAAAGCTCTTGGCGCGCCGGGCGCTCTGTCGTTCTCCTCCACCCCTCTCTTAATCTTTACTTTCTTTCACCTTCACTCACAACTGCACCGGCGTGCCACTCAACTCTCAGCCCAGCCCCCCTCGTGCTCTCCTCGCCTCTCTCCTCACCGCCATCTCCGCGAGTTCGCACTTTTTGCGCAGTGAGGCGATCCGCTTCTCCAGCTCGTACGCCTGCGCCTTCTGCTGCACGTACTCCATCACGTTTGGCATCTTGGACGTCTCCGCCACCGCCGCCTCGCGCTTGGCCTTGCGCTCGAGCCGCGCGGCGCGCTCGCGCTCCGCGTCGACGCGCTTCGCCTCGTCGGCGAGCTTGGCGATGGCGGCGTGCCGGCCGGCCGCCTCGCCGCGGAGCCACTCCGACTCCTCGTTCAGCGCGGCGAGCCGCTGCTTGAGGCTGTTCAGCACGTGGATCGTGTTGCCCGTCGTGAGCTTGAGCCGCAGCAGCTCGCTGTTGCGCTCCTCGATCTTCTCGAGCTGCTGCTGGTTCTCAATCTTGAGCTGGTCAAAGTCGACCGCGCGCAGCGAACCACCCGCGTCCTCCTTCTGCTGCAGCTGCGCCTCCAGCTTCTGCGCCTGCGCCTTGATCTGCGAGTTTTTGAGGCGCAGCTTCTCGGTCACGGCGCCCTTGGCGCGGATCTTGTCGTCCATGTAGCGGACCGCCTTCTCCGCGACGGTCTTGCCCGTGCGCGAGCTCTCCGCCCCAATCACAATGTCCCGCTTGAACTCGTACGCGTCCTTTTTGATCTCTGCAATCCGCACGTCGGTCGCCTCGATCTGAGCGCGCAGTGCGTCCATGAGCGCTTCGTGCTGCGCCCGCACCTCACCCGTCTCCTCACGAATGTCGTCAATCTCGAGGGCCGCCACCTCGTATCGCTGGTGCGCATCCAGCGCCACCCCCTCCGCGTCAGCCGGAAGTGCCATCTCGCCGCCCTCCTCAAATGCGGCGGGGTTGCGGGCCGCCGCGCGGGCGAGGCAGCTCTCAAACAGCGCATTCTCGGCGGCGAGATCCGCGCTGGGCCTGCGGGCGGATCGGTGGCTGGAGGGGAGTGCGGCGAGGCGCCGCGAAGCACGGCGAGGCGCACCGCGCGTCGAGGTCGGCCATGCTGCTGCCAAAAATGTAACGCCCCCGAGGAAAAAGAAAAAAACTCGCAGATAGCTGAGAGGAGAGAGGGGCGGGCCTCCTCTCAAACAAGAAAAATCTCCGCGTGTTCGCCGACCATTCGCCGACCGCCGCTCGCTGCACCCCGCTTCAGTCGATGGTGATGTTCACGGCATTCGCTGTGGCGGTCGGACACGACGGCCTCAACACAGCACAGGCGCACGCATACGCTCGCGCCATGCGTGCCGCTCCCAACACACACGAGCGGACCCTGCTGGAGGCGAATCTCTTAGCAAAGCTGTTGGACTTGCGCCCTGGTGCCGCGTTCGCTGACGTTGGCGCTTGGGACGGTAACTACACCCTGCTGCTCTCGCGATCCGTGCTGCCTCGCGGTCAGGCGATCGCCACGGACCAGGCTAGCCGTCTGAATCTGATCCGCGAGGCTGCAGCGCGCGAGCGTTTGAACCTTACAGTGGTGGAGGCGACGGCGGACGACGCCGGGCTGGCGCCAAGCAGCCTCGACGCGATCCTGCTCAGGACCTCCTTTCACCACCACAGCCGGCCTGCCTCTGCGCTCGCACAGTTTGACGCGGCGCTGAGAGACGGAGGCCGGCTGCTCCTGGTCGAGAATGCGCCACAGGGCGCCCGCAACAACCGCAGCGCAAGCTGGAGGCTCTGCAAAGACCAGGCCGTCGAGTACGAATGGGCAAAGGAGCAGGAGGCGCTGGCTCGCACTGGCCGGTCTGACGCGGCAGCCAACTGCACGCACGCCCAAGAGTTGGACGCAGCGCTCCATCCGCTCGGAGCAGGCATGGGCATCTCCCGCGATGTCGTGTACCACGAGGCCCGCGCTGCCGGCTTTCGGCTCAAGGCGGAGCTGTCGCGCTGGCCAACCGCCCGCTTTGGCGGCGAGTACGCCCTGCTCTTCCTCAAACCGAGCGGCACGACGCCTTTGGCCCGCCGCGGGCGCGTGGCGCGGCGGGGTCTGAGGTAGCGTCGGAACGCAGGTCCGCTCCGAGTTATGCACAGTTGCTTATTATACCTGTAACCCGACCGCGCCGCGGCGCGCCGCCCGCGTCCGCTTTTTAGTTTGTTTCGGGGGGGGGGGTTACCAAATACCAATGTGTGTGCGCGCGCGTCGTCGGAGCTCGGACACCGGGCCGGGTGGCCGGCCGGCGCGGCGCGTCTCACGTCGTCTATCCGACACCGCCCAGGACCGTCGTCACTCTCTCTCGCGCGCTCTCGGGCTCGCGGACGTCGCGGAGTGCTTTTGCCATGTTGATGACGCTGGTCCTGGTGGCATCATAGACAAATCAATACACAAAAAATTAAAAAATGCCTATGCACCATGTACAAGTTGACCGAGAGAGCGCCCCGCGCTCTCTCTAGATAGCACCACAGCCGATAGAACCGCCAGTCACAGCACAGAGCGCACCCCGCGCGCAACAATCATATAAGTAAGAGAGAGTCGTGGCATAACAGAGTCAGTTCGAGGAGTAGGAGTATGATGCGCAGTAAGGCCGCGCTCGCCCAGAGAACAAAAGAAGACGCCGCCCAGGTGCCGGGGGGGGGGGGGGGGGGGAGATCCCACCCGGCCAGAAGGGAGGTGCCGTCAGCGGACCGCACCCCAACCGCGGCTCAGTACACCTCCGCGCTGCCCACCTGCTGCGACTTCATCCGAATCAGGTTCTCGACCGCCGCCTCGATCTCCTCCGCCTCGGCGGGCGCGGGATCCCAGCCGCGGGCCGCCTCCGCGCCGCCCTCCGGCTCCCGCGCCTCCGCCTCCTCCGCCCCAGAGCTGATGACGTCCAGAGAGCCGTCCGTCTGCCACCCGCGCGGAGCTGAGGCAGCGGAGTGGATCGGCCGGTCGAGCTGGCGCTTCCGCACGCCGCCGCGCGGGCCCTCCCTCTTCGCTCGCTCCGGCACGTTCGAGTGCGGCGTCAGAGCCCGCTGCGCGCTCGAGCGCGGGCCGTGCGCCTTTGGCTGGCGCTCAGAGTCAAAGGCGAGCCTGGCCTCCGCCTCGCCCTCGGGGGAGCGGGCGTAGCAGAGCGCCGCCTCCTCCGCGGTGGCGAACCGGCCGAGCGTGACCCGCCGCCCGCCTCGTCGCACCTGCAACCGAGGGGAGAAAGCGTTGAGCGAGGCACGGATCAAGGCAGGGGCGGAGGCCACGGGGGGAGAGGCGCGGGCGCGCCTGAGCGCGGTACGGGTTTTTCAACCCGACGGTGCTGTCTGAATCTCTCAGCACGCCCCGGTAGCCGCTGAGGCTGCAGTGGCTGCGGAGCAGCGTGAGGCCCGCTTCCGCCGCCGCCCGCCGCGCATCTGCGGCCAGCTGCTGCAGCTCAGCCTGCATGTAGGACCTCCCTGCTGCCCGCTGGGGCGGAGGTGTTGCGTCGCCCGTGTCAGCATGCTCTGTCATCTGGGCCAACTGGGGGGCCCAGCTACGGCCTCAATTGACAAGGCTGGAAGGCACAGCCACAGTTCCGCCCAGCAGGCTGGTCCTCGTGCTCCCCTTTCTCATTGACTTTTCTCCGGGGGACGGCATCTCGAGGTTCCTTTGGCCGCGTTGGGTAGCGAGGGACGGCATAGTATGTGACTGTCACTGTGGTTACTGACCGGCAGGTTTGTGCCCCGTTTAGTTCATTTTAATAACCCACTCGGCAACCGTCGCCGGCGGCGCGCGTTGCAATCAGCCTTGGCCCTTGCTAGCCTTCGAAGCTTCGATTTTGAGAGAGAGAGAGAGAGATTTGAGAGAGAGAGATTTTAGGAAACCAACAAGAAATCACGACTCTCACAGTGATTTGGGCTCGGCAGCTTGTTAGCCCTCAGCCGAAGCTGGGGCCGGTCCCGTACCGTCGGGTACTTATTTTAAGAGCAGGTAAACAGCAATAGATCCGGCCCTCAAGCGGCCTAATCGATACCCAGCCCTCACGGAATTGGTCCCTCGTTGTACAGCAATCGATCCTTCACAGTGCCCGTCCTGCCAACTTGCCGAGAATCGGTCCCCCAGGTCACCTGTGGCGCGAAGCTGATGTCTCCCGCCCTCGGCGCGCCCAACGCGCAGCGGCGGCAGACCACCCTCCGGTTCGAGGGGCGCCTGGGGCTGAGCGGGCTGCCTCCGGCAGTCACATACGGGCTGACCGAAAATGGGCGCAAAAACGGGGTGATTTTGGTCGTCCGTCAAAATATCTGAAGATCTGAATGGGGGATTCTCCCCAAACCTTGCTCAGCTGATCCAGCACGGGCCGTAGGCCAGCCCTGGGCAAAGAAACCAGTACCTCATCAGGCTTCCCTGAGCGTCACAGCTCGGTGATCGCGCCGGCCGGACACCACTGTGACGTCCGTTCCGGGCATTTGAACGCGACCTTCGGGGGCGAAGACATTGGCTCTATGGCTCAGACTGGACTCCTCTTGGTCCCTTCTGATGCCCTAGGCCATACCTGGGCCTTACCTGGGGTTCTAGGGGCCGGGCAGGGTTTGCCCCCCGAAAGTGGCCCGGGGTACGTATAGACTGAGTTTGCCCCGCTGGTTCTTGGTTGGGGCAGGCGTGCGGCGATGTCGGTAAAAAACGAATGCCCTCGGGCTATCTTGCACGCGTCACGCGTCTCGCGTGCTGGCTGCTGCCACAGGCACAGCGCACAGGCACCCATGTGGAGGCCACAGCCTGCCTGCTGACCCAGGCAGCGCGAGCGTAGTAACACGTTACTACTTAACACAGTCGGGGGCTCTAACTATATAACAGAGGGGGGTAAGAAGGGCGCCATCGTTCAAGGTCCGGGGAGGGCGCCGCGCACAGTGGAGCGGACCGTCCGATTCGTCGCGCCGAGCGCCTTTGCGAGCAGGGCGAGTGACACCCGCCGGTGCGGGTCGGTGAAGCAGCCGACGGCGAGGTCGTGGTACAGCCCATCGCCGATCAGGTCGCGCGGCGTCACCTCGAAAAAGTGCCCAAAGATGCAGCCGCCGCGCTCGGCGTCGTTCTCGTGCGCCATGACGATTGGCAGCTTGCCCTCGCGCGCGGCGCGCACCTGATCTGCGAGCGCCTCGGCGCCGTCGCCGGCCCACGTCGATTTGTTCAGGTAGAGCAGCATGTGGGTTGCCTCGCCGCCGCCGCTGCCGCTGAAGCGAGGCAGCGAGGAGAGGCGCGAGGGCGTTGCGTCCGTGACGGAGATGCTGCCAGCCACGGCCGCCGCGACCGCATCGGCGAGATCTCGCGCCCCAACGTTCATAGTCGAGGCCCAGAGAACCACCGGCTTCGTGAAGGCGAGGCTGTCGGCTCGGAGCTCGCCCGGGATGTACAGGGGCAGCGCCTCCTCGCCCGCGTACTTGGGCGTCTTCAGCAGCAGCGCCTCGGCGATGACCTTGAGCGAGGCGTGCTGGAAGGCCTCGAAGCGATGCCACACCACCATCGGCCAGCCGGCGTCAAAGATTTCCCCTTGCAGCGCCTCCGGGCACTCGGATCGTAGCTCGGCGAGCGTGCCTCCGCCCCTGTCCGGGTCTGCCTCGTGGACGAGCACGAGCGGCTTGCCCATCGTCAGAGCGGCGCGGACCTCGCGCAGGCAGTTCTTCGAGCGCAGGTAGCCCCGCGACAGGAAGCAGAGCACCACCTGGGAGCGACCAATGTACGTCTCCAGCTCTCCGATGCGCTTGAGGTCGTCGATGTCGAGGAAGATCTCGCAGCCGGGCAGGAACTGCATGAGCTCGTTCTTGATAACGGCGACGGCGTCCTACAAGGGAGGAAGGCCAGGTCAGGTCTTCTCCGCACATGCAAAGCGGTGGGGCAAGGGGTGGCAATCCAAACCTGCCCCGTGCTCCAGACATGAGAAAGGAAGAGGTGCCACTGCTGGCCGTCGGCGAGGGTGATGCCGTCGCGCATTGGCTCACGGCCCGAAGAGACGAGCCGCATGGTCGTCTCCCTCGAGGCGCTGACCGCCGAGACGATGATAACGACCACCGATACGGCGAGCATGGCGGCGGTGAGGACGATGACGAAATTCGTGGCGCTCGTAGAGCTCTCGAAGCCAACAAGGCTGTAGCACATGTTTTCGTACGTGTTGCTCTCACACAGCTGAAGAGGCCAAGGAAGAGGGTGAGACTGACGAAGCGATGGCAGGTTTACGGACAGCAAGTGGAGTGTGGCCCGCGCCTGGATGACCAGCCCCGCGCAGAAGCAGCAGGTGAGCAGCAAGTTGGCGAGGCACGCAAGGTAGAGGTTGTCTGAGCGCCGGTAGGGGCGGGCGAGGGCGAGGATGGTGGCAAACATCGCTGAGACGATGGCGGCGACGACGAGGCGCTGAAGCTTGGCCGAGCCGTTCTGCTGATCGATGAAGAGCACCATCGAGGTGAGAAAGATCTTGCGGGTCAGGTCGATCACCTATTCTCAGACTCGTGCAGGGCTCACGAGAAATGGCAAGCCTCCAGCCACACTGTGCGCCGCCGCACACCTCCCAGAAGAGAAAGCCAGCAGAGTAGTCCCGCCATAGGAAGCTTGTCGCGGTAGACAAGGGGGTCGCGCGCTGCGCCGTTACTGGAACTCGGACGCGGAGCAAGAGTGTCAAAAAGCTGACCGGCACAAGGACGGGCCAGAGGCCAAAGAAGGACCAGAAGTAGACGCGCAGCTCGCTCGATCCGTTCTCCCAGTCGGGACCTGCGTTGCACTTGAGCGAGGTGTCGGCGAGTAGGAAGCTGATCCGCGTCTCCGAAGCGTCGTCGTAGCCAAAGGACCGACACAAAATGGCGCTAAAGATGGAGCGCGAGACGGAGGGCAGGACGAGGTAGAAGAGGAAGATGGCCCAGTAGAGGAGAAGGCCGAGGGTCTTGCGGCCAAACGCCTGCCTGACAGCCGAGCGAGGATCGGCGCCCGCGGAAAGGTTGAACAACGTCGACCGAGCGAGGATCGCGAGCGACACCAGGGCCACGGCGACGTACGGCCAAAGGCCCGCGATGAGCAGCCGACTGGTCATGCCGCCGAGGCAGCTGCCGGGGATGGCGAGCTCGAACACGTCCAGACTGAATGCGTTCAGCCAGATTGTGAAGCGCTCATCAAGGCGGACGCCGTACACGACGCCGAGGGTACTGCTCACCTGGTAGAAGCTCACGATAATCTTGAATTTGGGCTGCAAGCCAGCCTCGTCCGCCCGGCGCCAAAGGCGCCGGCGCCGGATCGCGGCGTAGGTGCCAGCGAGTATCGCAAGCGCGCAGGCGGAGACGAGAGCCACCACGGCGGTACGGCCGGTCGACGGGCAGGCGACGCACTGCCCCCTGGCGCGGCTAAAGTACTCTGAGGGAGCGACGCACCCCTCGCAGAGAGGGCCGGTGTGGCCATGGGTGCAATAGGGATCGTTTCCCTCTTTGGCATTGCGAGGAACTTGCAAACCGGCTCCGACGCGAAGGTCTGAGCCAACGCACGTCTCTGAATCGCACGGATAAAGCTCCGAGGTTGTAGGAGAGGCGCGCCAGTAGCCGGGTGCCACACCGAGCGAGGCTAGCGTGGTGCCGGTGGTATTGCATGTGGCGTACCGCGGGCAGGGCTGGCAGGAGTCCGTCGGGAAGAAGATGTTGGACGGGCCGGCACTTGAATTTCGCAGGTAGAAGCCCTCCTTGCAGATGGAACAGATGACACTGCTAACATCACTGCTGAGTGGGTATGGACAGGGGATGCACTGCGAGAGGCCTTCACTCGCCGCGTAGGTGCCCGCCTCGCACGGCTTGCACGCCGCCATACCACTCTTGTCCTGGTAGGTCCCGCTATCGCAGAGTATGCAGCTGTCTTTGGTCACAATCGACGTGTTCGTGTACGAACCCTTGGCGCACGCCGTCTGCTGAGTGGCGCCCGTGGTGGCGATGTAGCCCGGGTCGGCGTCGGTACAGTCCGAGGCCGCCACGAGGTCTGTGGCGTTTGAGTACGTCCCGGCCCGGCAGGGCAGGGGCACGCTTGTCCCCTCCGGGCAGTAATGGCCAGCGTCGCAGGGTAGTGCCTTAAAGGTTGCCTCTTCAGGGCATTGGCGCCCGGCAGGGCAACGACCAGCGCAAGCGCTGCTCGACTGACTCGTGGGATCGGCCGAGCCGAGGATACCGGCTGCACAAGCGAAGGGGAAGTCCTGATCGACGGGCAGCAGCGGCAGCTGGTAGATGCTCTTGCCGAGGAGCGAGGGATCTCCGCCTCGCGTGCTATCCCAGTTGCAAGGCTGAACAACAGTCGGCTCCTGGCAGTACCAAGGCGACTCGCCGACCTCTCTGACGGCGAACGCGCAATCCTTGTAGTATTCGAGGCAAGCCAACTGCTTTTCCGCCTCCGACGAAGGGTAATTGCACACCTCCCGGTACACCTCGCAGCGCGCGTTTGGCAGCCAGCGGCCGGCGGGGGCGGGGAGGGCGTAGGAGACCTCGCCAGCGCGCAGGAAGATGGAGCTCCCCTGACCCTCCGTTGCAGAGCAGCCGCTGATGAGGGTGCCGTCGCTCAGGCTAGTGCGCCCGCCCGCCGAGTAGAGTCCGCCGCCAGACTCTGTGGAGATGCAGTTGGAGATGGTGGAGCGGGCTAGGCTGGCTGAGCCCGAGTCCACGTGCACTGCGCCGCCTCGCGTGGCGTTGCAGCCGGAGATGGTGGAGTCGGTCACGCTGAGGTCGGTGGCAACCGTGAATGTAGCTCCGCCGTCCTGCGAGGGGAGGCGCGAGAGGCGGCTGAGACTCTCCTTGCCTTGTCTTGAACTACTCACCGCTTCTCCCTCCCTCTCTCTCTTGGTTGCGAGGCGGAGGCGCGGGGTGGCGCACCCCAGCTGAGCAGCCCGTCACGGTGGAGCCGGTTATCGAGACCGCATCGTTGTTGTCTGCGTAGACGACGCCGCCGCGCTGCGATTGCGAGGAGAGAGCGGGGTGAGGCAGCCGTGGCCCTCTACGTATCTTGCCTTGCTGCCGTGAGGCGCTGCTGGGGGTGCGCTTCTACGCGGCGCACCAAGCTAGCAGAGCAGCCCGCCACGGTCGAGCCGGTTAGCGAGACCGCACCGCTGGACGTGATGAAGACAACGCCTCCGTACTACGGTTGCGAGGAGGAAGATAGTAGGGGGAGGCAGCCGTGGCCCTCTCTATCTCTCGCCCCGCTGCCCTGAGGCGCTGCAGGGCGGGCAGCTAGCTCTACGCGGCGCACAATGCCAGCAGAGCAACCCGCCACGGTCGAGTCGATTAGCGAGACCGCATCGTTGTTGGCTGCATAGACGACGCCGCCGTTCTGCGTTTGCGAGGAAAGGGCGGTATGAGGCAGCCGTGGCCCCTGCATATCTCGGCCCGCTGCAGTGCGGCGCTGCAGCGGCGGCTGCTAGCTCTACACGGCGCACCTGGCCAGCCGAGCAGCCCGTCACGGTCGAGCCGATGAGTGAGACCGCACCGCTCTCCTGGGGTAGTTCTTTTGCGTTTGCGTAGACGACGCCGCCATTCTGCCGTTGCGAGGAGCGGGGTGAGTCATCCGTGGCCCTCTCCATCTCTCGTCCTGCTGTCGTGCGCCGCTGTGTAGAGTGTCCGCTAGGTTATGCGGCTCACAATGTTGGCAGTGCAGCTCGTCACGATCGAGCCGATTAGCATGACTGCACCACTCTGCCTCGCATAGACGACGCCGCCGGCCTGCGGTTGAGGAGAGAATCGGATGAGGCAGCGGTGGCCCTCCTAAGCTCTTTTTCTGTTGCCGTGCGGCTGTGCAGCGTGGCTGCTAGGCTACGCGGCTCGCATAGTCGGCCGAGCAGCCCGTCACATTCGAGTCGATTAGCGAAACCGCACCGCTGAAGTCGACGAACACGACGCCGCCCCCCTGCGGTTGCGAGGAGGGAGTAGGGGGAGGCAGCCGTCGCGTGGCCTTCTCCATCTCTCGCCCCGCTGTCGTGCCAAACAGCAGCTAGGGCTGTTAGGCTACGCTGCGCACATCTTCAGCCAAGCCACCACCGACTGAGCAGTTCACAACTGTCGAGCGGGTTAGCGAGACGTCACCGCTGTACTGCATGAAGACGACACCTCCCCCCTGCGCAGGGAGGGAGATCGGGGTGTGGCCGTGGCCTTCTCACATCTCTCGCCCAACCATGGTGGCGCAGACAGGCGGCTAGCTATACGCGGCGCACCTCAGCCGTGCAGCCCGTCACGGTCGAGTCAATGATCTCGACATCGCCTGCGCCGACACCGACCACAACTCCGCCTCTTTGGCCAGAATATGGTCCGTAGTTCGCCCGTCCGTTGACGATAGCAAGCCCGCGAAGGGTGAGGCTGCAGCTCTCCGTGAGCAAAAACAGTCCGGTCGTTCCTTGGCCATCGAGCTTCGCGCCCTCATCGCTGCTGGCGACGACCACCTTGACATTGGAGCTGCATCTAATTTGGCTGCTGAGCTTGAGGTGCAAGCCAGGCGCCAGGAAGATAGAGACGTCCTTCGTAGCCCCCTCGATGAGGGAGCGGAGCTCGGCGTCGCTCGCCGCGGCGACAGACGGAGGTGAAAGCGGTGAAGGCGGTGAAGGCGGTGAAGATGGAATTGGCGGCGGTGAAGGCGGCGCCAGAGGCGCACACCGCGGCTGGAACATGGGCTGGCTGCCTGTCTCGCTTGTCTCACAGAAGCCGCCCTCGAAGCAATACTGATCAGCGAGGCGAGCGTCACTGAAGCACGAGCACGCCGCCATCGCTGGGATGCGACATTCGCCGCCGTTGCATACGCCCTGGATCCTCCCGTTTGCGCCAGAGCCAAGCGCGCTGGGGAAGGTGAGGCAGTCCGAGTCAGAGGAACAACTGCTTGACCCGCGACCAAGCGAGCCGAGCGAGCCGCACACTGGTGGTCCTCGCATCACTCCCCTGCTGAGACAGTAGCCCGATGCACACTCAGCATCGACCGATCCCGGCTCCACGGAGCACTCAGCAGAGACTGAGCACTCTGATCCGTCAGCCGCGAATGGCGGCAGAGACGTAGGCGGCAGAGGCGGAGTCGCGGCCGCTTTGCTGACGATCAGCGCAACGGAGACAACGTAGGCGGCGGTTGATCTTGGCGAGGCGAGACCCGCGAGCAGCGCGCCCGACGCGACTCCGAAGAGGAGAGAGGAGCCAAAGAGGAAGAGGAGCCAAAGAGGAGCCATACCGCGCTGTGCCCTCGTAACACGCTCGCCATCCTTCTATGTTTATTTCCCCCCCACCCACCCGGACGCCCCCCCCCCACCCGGACCACTCCTCCCCGGGATGTGATAGGTCTGTTGTTGGCAAGAGGACAGAGAGAGCTCACACACGATCACAGCTCACACCCTCACGCCCCGTGTGTGTCTCGCGCCTTGGGGGGGGAGCGGAAAGGAGGAACCTCTTCCCAAGAGCACCACTCTTAAATCTCTCTCTCTCTCTCTCTCCCACTCTTGGAGCGCCGCCACTACCACCCAGATGGTGAGACTGACGGCCTGTGGCCGGCTGGTGGGCGGAGAGCAGCCAGGAGGACTCCAGAGTAGCCAGCAACATGAAGCAACGGGAGAGCGCACAGCGAGCGCAAACACAGCTCTGAGAAAGGGCTTGAAGTGGCCGTTTAAACTGTTGTTCCTTTTTGACCGCGCAAGATATAAAGGGTGTCCTAAGGGCTCTGCTCGCAAGGCGCCCGCGTCGCAGACGCGGTACCATTGACAAATCTGCAATATACCCCCACACGAACAAATAGCAAAATCCGAATACCGTGCACGAATCCGGCGATGTCGGACGCAAGCCTTCAGCTGGTGCCAAGACATTCGTAAAATTGAAGCCAAGAACGGCCGCCAAATCCGTGCTTTCGGAGCAACTGAGGGAAAGCCGCTGATCGAGCCCAGCGTGCCCGCGGCCGCCTCCCGCGCAGCACCGCCGCTGGGGACGACACGCTGCGGATTCGGATCGAGCCCATGGAGGAGGAGGGCGCGGTCGGCCAGCGCAGCAGGCGGAGTCCCTCCCCGCGCCGGAGCCCCCTGCAGTCGAGGGAGTCCTCGTTGGCGATGAAGGTGGCGACATCGAATCGCGGCCGACACACGTCACGTGGGAGGAATGGGCGATGAGCGGGAACGATGCGCGCTACGACGCCGACTCCGCCGTGCTCGTGGCCGCCAAGCAGAAAGCCGCGCTCCAGGAGCACGCCAAGATGCAATGGCTCGCTTGCTTCGATTCAGCTCTCTCGGCAGCAGAAGTGGGGCTGGAGCGGGTGGGGGTGGATGCCGATTGAGGGAGAGCGTCTCCAGCTGCGCCCTGTGGCAGCTGCGCCCTGTGGCAGCTAGTCGAGGGACTTGGTAGTTGTGACCCCCCTGAGTGAGGACAGGAGAGAGAGAGCGTTTTGTGGTGTTGGTGTACGCAATAACGGGACAGGGTGGTTGTTCTCTCTATCTCCTCTTCTAGCTCTTAGCATGAGCTGCGCCCTGTGTCCGACCCCTTTTGCGCAGCAACACCTTAAACTTTCAGGCCCTCCAAATTCGGGTCGGAGCGTAGCGGAGTGGGCCCCGAGTTTGAAAAGGGCGAGCGACGGACGCTTGCGTCCTAGCCTCCAACAACGCCTCCCCGGCGCAGAGGGGCCCCCGGAGGGATGCACAACCGCTCCACGCCACGCCGCTTGCGGCGGTCTCTCTCTCTCTCTCTCTCTCTCTCTCTCTCTCTCTCTCTCTCGGCGGTCCTCTTCCCAGCTCCGCTGACGGTGCGGTATTCCTTTTTGCCGCGCGGTTGCTTCCGGCGCCGAGCATTATGGCATTCGCCTTTGTGCATGTCTTTGCGCTCGCCGCCGCTGGGCACTCGCTCTGGCGGCCACCCGCCGCGGCGGTGGCGAGCCTGGTGCCGCGCCACTCGCCGGCCGTGGCGGCTGCGCCGAGGCCGTCCCGGGACTCGTCGCGCAAGGCCAAGGCGCTCGGGACCAAGGGCGTGGCGCCCTCGGTCGAGAAGCAGAAGCACCTCCTCTTTGACCGCGTCGAGCTGACGGTGCGCGGCGGCGACGGCGGCGACGGCGTCGTCGTGCCTCCGAGCGGCAGGCACGCCGCTCGGCTCTCCTCGGGGCTCGAGTCGGACCTGGAGCTGCCGCCGGGCGGCGACGGAGGTGACGTGGTCTTGTACGTCGACCCGTCCCTCTCGGACCTCCTCCCGCTGCACGCGCGGCCGACGCCGACCGCCGACGCCCGAGGCTATGAGTAGTCTCCGTCCACGCGGCTATCCCCGTGCGCAGGCGCGCCCGAAGCTGACCGGCGAGCGCGGCCGCGACTCGCCCGGCCCGCTCACCGCGCGCGAGGTTGCGCAGCGGGCGGTGCGCGACTCTGGCGACGGCAGCGCCGCCGGCGTGCAGCGGCAGCAGCTGCACGGCGCCGCGCTGCGCGTCGGGGTCCCTCCCGGCACCTTTGTGCGGACGGGTGCTCGACACTTCCTAGACTCTTCCTCTCCACACACCGCTGGCGCTGCTGGCACCGACGCCCGCAGCTCCGCCTGCGACCGCCTCGCCCTTGCCGACTGGCTCTCACCCTTCCAGCCCCCTGCAGGCGGCGGGCGCGTGCTCGGCGACCTCGTATCTGCGGGCGACGAGGCTCGAGATCAGCCGAGATCAGCAGAGATGTGATCGAGATGTGGTCGAGATGGGGCGGGCGGGCTCGAGACTAGCCGAGTGGCTGAGACGCACCCGCGGTTTGCGTGCTCGGCCACGGGCGAGGCTCGCATCGCAGAAGCGCATCACAGAAGCGCATCACAGAAGCGCATGGCAGGAGGAGGAGGAGGGTGGGCTGCATCACAGAAGCGCATGGCAGGAGGAGGAGGAGGTGGGCTGCTGCTGGGACGAGCTGCTGCCTGGGGCTGGCCTCCGAGGGGAGTGGGGCGGCTAGCTGCGACACTCCTTCTTCGCTGGACCTCCTCGGAGCCCTCCCGCAGGTGCGCGTCGCCGAGGGAGGCGCCGGCGGGCCGTGCATTGTCGGGTCGGCGCGGGGGCGGGCGGCGCGGCGGCAGCAGAGCGAGGCGAGGCGCGGCGGGCGGAGGCGGAGCGAGGAGGAGGTGGACGCCTTCGAGCTGAGCGAGCAGGAGGAGATCGACCTCGTGCGTGGAAAGGCGGCGCCGCCCCCGACCAAGCTGCTGCTGCTGCTGCGCACCGTCGCCGACGTCGGCTTTGTCGGCTTCCCCAACGCGGTGCGCCCTCCCCTCCTCCGCCCCCTCCCTCACGGGGAGTTTTTTTGGCGGTTGGCCGGTATCGGCCTTCTTCCTTCTCCGCGCGGCGAGTAGTCGTTCTTAGCAAATGCCTGACTTGGGCGTGCAGAGGCGCAGTCTCCCTTTTGGGGGGAGGC